GATCGGGCCTCGTTGGGACTTCCTCGGGGCCAACTGTTTATTGGTCCGCCGAATACCTTGGTCCAAAGCGGGCCAACTCGGGCTTGAGGAGTGGTTACGAACAGGGGCAGAGTTGATCTGAGTCTGGAGACAGCGGCGCTGGATGACTTCATATACCAGCTTACATCAGCATTAAAGACAATTTAATTCATTTTTAGCTCAAAACTCACTTTCATGTTTGAATACCTTCTGTTTGTGATCCGATGTGGATTCTGATTACCGTATAAGGCAGACATATTTACATGCAATGCAAAAGACTATGCGCGCTAACCATTACCATAGTATGCTAAATATGACCGCTTGAAGAAATCAGACAAATCATATAGGCTATCACCATCATGTTTTTTTTTCATTTTATCTGTCACTATTCGTCTCGTCTCTTTATACCGGACTGTATAACTCTGGTTTTCCGGGAGCTTCCTCTGTTTCTCTGACTGAATATATAACTGTATTGGGACTGTGCTGAAGCTCCTCAGGTTATATTTTTGGTGGAAAACTGTAGAAATGATATGTCTTTCTAAATGACGACGGAAACGTGGCGTGGTTTTGGGCTCAGTGCTAGAGGTCCGAGGCACGGCCCATTTAAAGCCCTGGCTCGCACTGGCCCGACAGTGGAAACGCGGCTATTGTGCCATGAATGAACAAGTCATATAGTCCACAAATCACCAACATTCACTGAGATACAGGTGAACATAATAGGTAACCGTAGAAACAAATGACATAATCAGAAACCAAGGAAATGGAAACTAAACTGAGCTGAGAAACAGGAACTAATGACACCAGAACAGAATGTCAAAACAAGACAACATAAGTGAACATGACCATTACAAATATGAAGTGTTGTATTTTTACATTTATTCAACTTGTAGTATTTCTTACTACATAAACCTACTGAAAAACATAGTTTATAATATAATTTGTATTTTTGTTCTAAAAAAATAAAATAACAAAAATAACTGTATTGTGATATCATCGTGAAATAAGATTTTGGTCATATTGCCCATTCATAGTAACGAACATTAAATTTGTGCTGCAAATTATTTCATTAGTTAAATTATTTACTGCAGTGCTTTGCTAAATTTTAGATATTAAAACTTTGTTTAATGATTGTTTTTCATGATTTTTAATCAGACGTTTGTTTTTATGAAGAACTTGTTGCATTGAAAGAACAATAATAATAAACTTTATTTTAAAAAGTGTTGTACACAAAATAAGCAATGGATAGCTCAAGAAATAAAAGTAACATCAACCAACAAATGCTAGTTTAAAAAAATGTCTTAAAGGTAGGGTATGGGATTTGCAAAATGACCGGCAGATTTTGAAAATACACAACTCAAAAGGTCCTACCTTCCTTCCTCCTACGCTGGCCCTGACTCCACCCAACATGGACGCGCAATCATGCATCTGCAAAACTCAGATGCGCGAGATTGCACTCACTCTCTCTCTCTCTGTACCGGGGCGTCTTGCACTTACTGTGACTGGGTCACGAGCTTTGAGTATGCGCACGAAGGGGACACGCGCGAGGGGGATGGGGGGTATGGTACGACCGTTTGATTGACGCACTTACAGTCTAGGTGGTCTTGGAAATGATTGGCTGGAGTTTTTCGAGTCCTGCCCGTTCCACAGATGATTAAATTGATTAATTTTCATTTCAGTGCTTCTAACTCAGTGGCTGTAAGTGGGTTAGGAATAGGATTTCAAGTGATTTTGAAAAAAATGGTCAAAAAAGAAAATCACATACCCCACCTTTTAAGTCTACCTTTAAAAATGTCATAGTTCTGAGCTTCCCTAAGGTCAATAGGCAGAGAATTCCACAGGGCAGGAGCATATGAAGAGAAAGCCCTGTCACCCATAGACCGTAAGTGTGTATGAGGAACAACCAACAAGTTGGATTGTGAAGATCGCAATCTACGATTTGGGGTATAGGAATGTAAAAATTCAGATAAATAATGTGGAGCCCAAGCCTTACAATGTTTTATACGGTTCCTTTATCCGAGGTTCTTTGCTTTGAGTCTCGAAGACAGAGCCATAAATAGTCAAAGCAAAGACCGAGAACCATGATGATGGTAACCAATGAGCATGACTTCAGTTTTACCACTGTTCAGACACAAGAAATGTTTACTTGTTCATGTTTTCATTTCAGAAATAAAGCCGGAGAGAAAACCAACACCAGGGTGTTCACCAGATTTTGAGTGTATATAAATATGCGTATCATCAGCATAAAAGTGATAATGGAGGCCAAGCAATTCCAACAAGTGACCAAGTGGTGACAGATAAATATTAAATAGCAGAAAGCCCTAGACTGAGCCCTGGGGAACACCAGTGAGAACGGAGCTAATCTCAGACTTGAAACCACCCAAACAAATGAACTGAGAACGGTCCGTGAAATGGGATTTAATCTACTTCAAAGCTGTCACCCCGCCACACCTAAAACTTGTTCAAAAGCTGCTCTTAAATCAAGAAGGATGAGAATGGAAATTGCACGAGTCAGAAGCCATCAAGAAATCCATTGGTGACTTTGACCAAAGCTGAAAGAAGTATTAGATATAAAGTTAACTTGATGTGCTAGTCTGAATGTTAGTGGAAGAGCAGGGCATGTTACAGCGTGCTAAAACAGAGGCAACTAAGCAAAGTATTTACAACATTCTAATTAGGGCTGCAACTAACGGTTATTTTGATAATCGATTAGTTGGCCGATTATTTCTTAGGAAATTGAGCTTTTTATCCGATGAATCAATTTTATTTTATTGACAAAACATACTATTCCACATCCTCCCAATGCTGTCCTTCAAACAAACGTGCCAACAGAGTGCTATGAAAACATGTATCTATATCTATCTTATATGGAAAAGAGCTATGTGGAAAAGAGCTATAAAGTAAAAGGACAGTTTAAATCCCTAAATTAAACATGAATATAATAATAAAGAAAAAGAAAAATACAAACTCAGTGTTAACAGATAAGTGGAATGTTCTCCAGGAACACACACATTCACTATGGACACGGTTACTGTGTCCAAAGTGAATGTGTGTGTTCATGCAGAACATTCCAAGAAAATTTCTTTATCCTAAGAGGCACACTTATCTGTTAAAGCCCCTGACAGGGAAGTCGCATTCAACATTGCGCTAACACATTAGCTTGAAACTTAAAATAAATAATTCTCATGTTTTGGGCAGTTTGGATCATTGCGCCTATCAGCTCACTCATGCATTTTGTTCATAGAAATGCGTTATTCAGTGCTGTGATTTGACGCGACTGGCTGTATTTTTCCGTGCACCGTGGGTTTAATAAAGATAATGACATTCGTTGTTGATTTTTATTATCGATTTAATCGATTAGTTGTTGCAGCCCAAATTCTAATTCAATAGCGTTCTTATTATCATCTTATGTATATGACAGATCTTACACTTAAATGTATTTTCATTATTAAAGTAATCATTACAGACATCACTGTGTGTTGTCAAAGCCACTTTAGGACTGGATGCTGTCCAGACTGGATAACTAAAATGACACTAACCAATTATATCTCCATGTAACGCCCAAAATGGAACCATAACCAATCATAAAAAAAAAAAAACTGCACGTAAGTCTGCACGATTAATCCCAATTTACAGGAAATCGCACTTAAACCGATTTGGCTCAAAATCGAAAAGGCTGCAATTTTTTTTTTGCGCAGCTTGTCATTGATACGGCTCTGTAAACGCTGCTCCATCTGAAAGCACTGTGAGTTTGTCACTTATAACGTGCATTTGAAAAAGCAACATGCGTCAAGCATCTTTCCAAACATGAGAAGCATTTATGAACCTCTTTGTCCAGTAAAAGACAACATTTAATAACATGCTTTTACTCCAAACTCACTTCATAACGACAGTTGAGATCATCCTTCTGTGAGAGGATGTGGCTTCTTACACAGAATAAGGCAGTTGTGTGTTTATTAGTCATGTTTAATCAATCAAAGCGTTTCGATCTTCTGTTTATTCAGCCACAGTGATAGTATGATGCCTGATAGGAATTTCCTGGAATGATGTGCTTTATCGTACTTCTGCGGCGGGGCATATTTGGCATGTCTGCGTGAGACGCCCTCTGGTGTTCAGATGGAGCAGCGTTTTCTACCGATCAGCCGTGCACTGACAAGCTGCACATACAACAATCGCAGCCTTTGCCAAATCGCATGCTTTTTCATTGCGATTAATTGTGCAGCCCTATTTTAAAGTCATATGATTATCGTTTTCACAATTGATCTTTGCGGTCCCTTTTCTCTTGAGTACTGCTGATTGACCGGCCCCTGCACACTGCTCCCTATTCCCTGAGCACGGGATATGTAGAAGTTCCCTTTACCAGTACTTGCCAACAGTATGTTTTAATTCAAATCAAATCATTTTCATAATGTGCATTAGGGGTGTGCAATATATATTGCCTACAATAATATCGTAATTGTTTTTTTTAATGATGTGGAATCTGACATTATGTCCCTCACTTTGCAAAAACCAAACAAAACATGTGCATAATGACAAAAAATGTCAAAAACAATACCTTATATGGTTGTATTGTTCTTGTATGCAAATTGCTTTACTTGTTGGTTTTAATGTTTTGGTAAAACTACCGATACTTCTGTGGTCGATACTGAGATTTTAAAAACTTAGCGATAACAGACTTTCTGTACCGGTAGTTCATTGTGCCTAACAACACTCCATAACTGTATTGTCACTGCAATGCTTGGCCTCGTGTGGCTTATTGCTTTCAAATTCATTGTACAATGCAGGATATTTATCAAACAATGATGATACAGACTCAAGTCTATTGTAGTGTCGTGCTGTTGAACAGACTGCAGAAGTAGAATTTACATTATTTGAGAAGAGAAGTGCACAAAATCTCTCAAGCACCTTGATTTCAAGAACTTTTTTCATTTTTTCACTCGTATAAGATGATGCTGATGCTTTTTCTTTTTCTCTTTTGTTTCTAGGCCAGAAGACATGTCTTCATCTCCATGGCTTGTTCCCATACATCTACGTGCCGTATGACGGATTTGGACAGGAAGCAGATCGGTACCTTCGACAGGTGGCCTACAGTATTGACAGAGCCCTGAATGTCAGCATGGGAAACCCCTCGTCTAATGTGCAGCACATCTTTAAAGTGGTTCTGGTGTCTGGCATGTACGTGTAAAAGGCACGCAAGTGCACACTAGGGTTTGCTTGGATGGCTACTAGGAGTTGGTGATATGGAAAAAATATCATATCACAATTTTTTTCATGCTATGTCACGGACCATGATCTTATCACGATTCTTTTTCATGTTGGTTTATAAGACAATTTTGCAAGTTTTTTTTGTGTGCAAGTTTTGCTTTTGCTATTTGATTAACATTAAGGACACAGACAGCAGCAGGTATTAGATGGGTATTAGGACCTAATGCACGGATCCAGTACTGACACGCTTCGGAATCCGATTTTCTCTTAACCCTTTACATTCACAAAAAAAAAAAAAACGATTCGGTTTACATAAATACTTGCCAAGACAGACATTTTGACACACATTTGTGTGTGTTTGACCCTTTAAGCTTGCACTAGATGTCCAAAGTATACTTTGGCTTTATTAACAACATTAACAACAGGCAAAATACATTTACAAAGTCTGTTTTCAAATGGAGAACATAAAACGACAGGGGAGTCTATCAACTCCCCATAAATGTAAGTATTCGTTATTTCGTTTTAAACTACAGTTTGTAGTTGTTTGATGGGGTAAAGAGTGAAGCGAATGGAACACGCAGGAATATTCGCTTCAATCCGCACACATTACACATCCATTCGCTGGAATACGCAAACATTGTCAGGAATAGAAACTGTTTTTATCTATGCATTTACACAGAACTTCTCTCGTGGAGATAATTAATTTTCACAAAGCTGTAGTTATTTAGATGTTTATTAGCGAAAAAAAGGTTATATAGATGTTAATATAATTTAGGAAGTTTTAAATAAGTGGATCGTGTTAAAGCTGCATACGGTGGCCATGCCCCACTAGTCCTTTGCTTTGGACAAGCTTCATGTGCTTGTTGTCTCCTAATTAGGAACCTAAATAGATAAATATCAAGTATGCTTTTTAAAACAAATAACTTAGAAGCAGGAAACTGTATATTCATGCAGTGTGCACATGTCAAAAGATTAATTCCACATAAATGCGCACATCAACTCAATAATTTTATCAATTGAAGAAATCAATTGTGAAGCTCTGTAATTGGATTAGTTTAGTAAATCTAATGCAGTTAGATTTAGTACAAATGCAATTACAATGATTAATTTAAGGAGCATTAAAAGCTAAAAATAACCATAATATATTGCATGCAGTCGTGCTCTTAAGTGCTTTTTGAAGGCAAAACACTCTGGGTTAACCTTTTCACTTCTGTGTAATTAAAAAAATATTTGGCCATTATACAAATACTGTACTTACTATACAAAACGAATCTCATGCAACAACACTGGGGCACTATTTGTGGACAGGAATTGTTTCTTCTTCTGTCACCATAGAACATACAGTAATATTATAGAAGAAGAGCAACCTGAAGTCATATGATCCATGGCTAGTTAAAAACGTTGATTGGTGCCAGAAATAATAAACCAGTTGTGCAATCACTAGGTGAAAGTAGTGTTGTCTCGATATTGAAATGTCTAACTTCAATATGACACCTTGAAAAATATAGATATTCGATACCATTTTCAATACCATGGGGAAAACTGCCATAAATATATTTTTTATTATCTCATAATTTTTTTTGATGATTAGAGTAATTGTTGCAATAGCTTACACACAGCAGAGGGGGGTGTTATTTGAAACTTTGAATTAAATTGGCAAAAAAAAAGACAAGTAAACAGCCTAATAAAATAAGATCAAATAAACAAATTTCAAACAATAGCACAAATAAATACAATAGAATAAAGAGACAAATGAAATGAACATGGGTTTAAGTTTTTCAGGTGAGTCTAACAGTAGTATTACATTTTACAGAAATTAAATAAAGTAATTCAATGTAAAATAACACTCATCATTGTAAAATTAAATGCAGATTAATGCTTACAATTAAAGTTATTACATGAACATGACAGCAGCAGGTATATTAGGCTGCTGTTACTTTAAGAGCTTATGCACAGATCCAGTATACTGTTACTCAATAACACTCAATAACACTTGTTTTCTTTCTCAACTATTTACATTCTAAATATGGCTGTATTTACTTGAATATTCATTGTTTACCTATTGAAACATCTGGACAACGATCTGACCGTCTTATCTCTCCACAGGCCTTTCTATGGATACCATATGAAGGAAAAAACCTTTATGAAGATTTACCTATACAACCCACAGATGGTCAAAAGGTGAGTCCTAGTATGTGTGTGGGTGTGTAAAAGGATATCAAAAAGTACTGACACTTCTGTACCAAGTTAGAAAAAAAGTGCAGCAGTATCATTAATGTCGGGTACAACTCAATTCTGATTGACAAGCATTTGCTTTTAAATTCACTTGAGTGAATGTGGAACATTGATTCATCTGTTTCTGGGGGATTTCCGTTGAAAATAAAATAAATCCACGGCTCTCTTGTCTCCTCTGAGGCTGGGACTCTAAATGGTGTTCAGTGCTCGTCTGTGCAGCAACGACAGAACAGTTTGCATGCTTTGCTCGAACATTTGCCATGGCGTTAGGACTGGTTACACTGTTGTCGCTTGCGAAAACCAAATGGCGGCGCCGTGGGTGGAAACGTGCAGATTAAGGGGCGGTAATATTACAATAACATTTCCTTCCTACGTCAGAAGGGGAGCAAAATCTGATCGGCTTATTTTTTGACATGCTTGCGGGAGAAAGGCTTACCAAACAAAGTTACTCGGTTGTCACTTTTCACATGTTCTGGGTTGTTAATGCACCAGGGACCCAATTATAGCACTTAAAAGCGGAAAAAGTCAGATTTTCATAATATGTCACCTTTTTAATATAACTCCGATTCGTCTGAGAGAAGAAAGTCATATACACCTAGGATGGCTTGAGGGTGTGTACATTTTCATTTTAAAGTGACCTACTCCTTCCACAGGTGCATATACAATAGTTGTTTATGGTTCATTGAACATGCATGAAAGACTGATTGTTTAATAAAAATCTCTAGAACGTAGTTTACTAAATTATCTTTCTATGAGTAGAATTTCTATGAAATAGCACCTACAGGGAAGTGACAGAAATTAACTTTCCCATTAAGGACAACTGCATAATACTTTTAATAATGAAATTAAAACTGCCAATAATGAGTCATAGAAGCATTCATTCAACTGATTTGTTCAAAACGTCTGATTCATTCTGGAGCAAAACAAGTGACTGGGTCACTGAATTCCTGAACCGATTCGTTCAAAACCCTGGATTCGTTTAGAAACACCACTGTGTGTTTTTCTCACCTTGGAAACACGCATCTCTTTTGCTGTGGCTTGTTGTCATATTTTTTTATTTTTTTTTATAAAAACAACTGGCCATTTTTGTTAATTTGATCTTATTTTATTATCTGTTTGCTTGTCTTGATTTGTAACTTTTGCTGTGGCTTGTTTGAGATAAATAACAATGTATACAATGTAACAAAATATATAACAATGGCCATTTTTGCCACCAAATCTTAAATTTTGGGTGCATTTTATTAATTTGGGCATTTTCCCCCAACCCCCTGAGAATGTCTGACCCTGCTTCAAGAGAAGCCTCTCTAATTAATAAAATGAACGTGAAAATTAATTTTAATAATGGAATAATATAGACTTTTTTTAGAAATCACAATTTCGAAGTGCATAAGCTTTCATGCATTAATATTAGGCTACTATAGCAACATTTTAGTTGAGAACAGTCTAGTCTCAGCCTCAGACGTCACGCCCACGAGTGTTGGCTGAGCGTCTGATGCCTATGGCACACAAAATTGGAAACACTTCAGGAATTCTACAGGATTTCCAGGAGATTTGTGTGTTGCGTTCTTTAACGGTCCAGCTGGAAACTGGTCCATCAGCTTCATCTCATCCTCATGGACTGCACCAGATTTACTATTTCTTGCTGTGAGCAGTCTGAAGGTTTAGCTACGCAAGACTAAGTCTGTTTCGCAGTCACATTTTGACTTGCACATTTGACACATTAACCTATGAACTTCCCGCGCCATGAAGTAGCTCTACAGAGTAGGCTAAAGGTTTTTTTCCATGTTTTAGAGGGCTAGATAATAAGTCGTAGTTAGTTGAGTTCACTAAATTGTTATAGTTTGTCACCGGTTGCACTTCAGGGTGTTCTAATCATAAAAGGGTGTTCTTATCATAAAATTATGCATCTGTTAAAAGGGTCACAACGTGCGTTGCGTGTTAGTGAAGCTGTCACAATGATTGTGTGTTTTGCAGTAAAGCAGATACAACCAATTACTTTTGGTGATGGTGGTATCCTGCTAACTTGTGTGTATTTTTGGTAAAGCCACTGAAATTATGTATCCAAGATGCATTTATATCTGGTGGTCTAAAACGTTTTTATTTATTTTTATGAATAGATGAGTTAAAATTTCAAATACATGTTGGCCTAGGCAATTTTCCTTTTAATTTTATGTAGTAATATATATTATTCAATGCAGCCATGGAAGCCAGCGAACAAACTGGGTCAGAGATCGTAGATTCTACACGACCTAAAAAGCCTCCGCACCCTGCTAAAAATCTCTATGAACGGGAGCATATTAAAACTCATATCAACTCATCATAAATCAATAAATCAACTCATTAAATTATTGTGTAAGTATCTTCGCATTCCATTGTCAATTGCACTCGTTCCTGTTGCGTGTCCTCAATCTGGCAACCAGCGTGAGCGTCGAGTCTGAGCAGGCGGGGGAAACAACTCTCTCCAATATTTTGAATTTGGACTGCAGTGCCTATTTCAACCGCTAGCTGTAAGTCTCACATACTGCACCTTTAATTGAGAAAAGCTTTGTTATATGGCATTGTTTTCAAGTAATTAATATTGTTTAAAAATTAAATAGCAATGGTTTTGCTGTTCTGTTTTTGTGCTGTACTGAAATGGATATCGAGATTCATTTTACAAGAATTTTTCTTGTATTGGCATCTACTACTGAAAATTCGGTACCAAAGTAACCTTTAGTGATGTGGTGTGTTCTAGTATACTATGTAGGGGTGTGTGGGCTGGTAAACCCTACGTTATGGGGACAAAATGGCCCCACAAAGATGGCAAGTTCTAAAATCCTGGTCCTTGTGGGGACATTTTTTGGTCCCATAAGGAAAACAACTTATGAATCATAGTTTTTTTTTTTAAATGTGAAAAAAAGAAATCTGTGATTGGTAGGTTTAGGGTTAGTGGATAGAATATAGAGTTTTTACTGTATAAAAATCATAGTCTCTGAAAAGTCCTCAAAGAACATGGAAAGCCTGTGTGTGTGTGTTTGGTGTGTATATCATGTGTTTGGTGTTACTGATTGAATGCATGTTTTCTCTTTGTAGGGTGAGTGAACTCCTGCAGGGTGGAGCTGTAATGAATAAGAGTTTTCAGCCCCATGAAGCTCATATTCCCTTCCTGCTCCAGCTCTTTATCGATTACAACCTCTACGGCATGAACATGATCAGTCTTGCTGCTGTTAAGTTTCGAAAAAGCAGTGCAACAGGTAAAGCATACAGACATTCATACACACAAGAAGTAGTCTTGCTTTGCCAGACTTTTGATTATCAAAAGTCTGATTCACATTGCCCACAGTGCCGCCCGCTTAGAAAGAGATTATTTGACCAACATGAAAAACAGCAGGATGGTCAACTAGTCCAAAATCCAACTATAGTTTATTAGTTGAAGAGTTTGATTTAATGAGTTTATATAGAGTTTTTCCTTCTGTCTTTTTAGCTTTAATGTTTTTAGCAGTGATACTTTGCAGTGATGACTTGAAAGTGCCCTGGAGAGTTTATACATTTGTCACATTGAACGCTCTAGCTGCAGTGTTTGAGAACACACTTCGGCATTGCTGTGTTAAGTCTAGTGGATGTCTACTGAGAAAGTCCTCTTGATTTTTAGTATAACCCTTCCTGCCCTGGTCTCCTTCAGGACAAAGTTTGCTCTTTTTCTGCATAGTGCTGCTTTCCTTTCTTTCAGCATTGGGGCATAAATAATAGTGATGCTCAAGAACACTTTCTTCCCCAGTCTTGGTTTTTGCATAGATAGCTGGGTTTGCAGAATGAATGGTCCTCGTGGACTTCTAGGCACCGTTTACAAGCCTTCTTGTCTGCTAGCTTTAGTGATTGGAACTGTCTGCAGAAGTAGAGCTTCCTTTTTTGCTTAACGTCACCAGAGACTACACACTGATTGATCGTTGCTTGATTAAGTAGACTTTGTTCTTGCCCATCTTGGCTCGGTTCTTAACTCCTTTCAGTTTGGTTCCTCATCCCTTAATGGTACAAGCTGCTCGTAAATGCTCTCCTGCTCTTTGAGGAATTCAAAAAGTTTGTCAAACCGGTTGTCTGGTGTGACAGAGCTCTGCTGGTCAGAGATGTGGACAAGCCATTCTTTCTTGAAAGACTCAGGAAGTTTTCCTTCAATTGACTTCAACACTAGTGGATTTTTAATTGTGCCAGTATCACTCACTCAGTCACTCCGTCTCTAAGGCCCCGTCCACACTACTGCGTTTTCGTTTAAAAACGGAGACCTTTAGCTACGTTTGCACCTCCCGTCCAGACTAAAACGGAAAAAACGAAGACCTAAAACGGAGAAGTTTAGAAACGCTGCAGCTCCGTTTTGTGTTTTGAATCTCCGGAGGGCGTTTTAGTGAAGACGGGACAAAACGGAGGACTTTAGAAACGCTGACGCAGAGGCTCACGCTCGGCTCTAATGATTGGGTGTCATGACGTATCCTTCCCTGATTCGTCAGCCACCGTTTACACCGACACGCGCATGCCCAGTGTTGGTGAATGGTCACGTGATCCGCGTTTTCAGGCGACGGAGATCAATTCTAATACGCAGATAAAACGTTGGTGTGGACGGAGATCGTATTCGTTTTAATTCTCCGTTTTTAAACGAAAACGCAGGAGTGTGGACTAAGTGCCTTTTCTACTGCTTGAATTAATTAAACTATTTTCCGTGGCTGGTGATTTCTGATAGCAGGGTTTTTTTGGAAGTCCTCTAATATTTCAATTGCTATAGGTGTCACGTTTCCATAGCAGTTTTCCAAGACACAGAAAATGTCATCAGCTGTATTATAAGTGGTGAGGCTGAGATTTCGTACAATCCTTTTATCCAGACTGTCTAGCACCTGAATCTATTTTACCTCCTTTTTTACCTTCTGAAGCGCTTCCCAGTCTCTCTTCCTCTTGTGAAAGTCACATTTATTACCAGTGAACTTTGGAAGGGATGTGGGCTTTAACTTAATTGTTGCCACGGGGTAGTTGGAGATCATTAGTGGAGGTGTTGTTCTCTCTGCCTCCTTGTCTCGCCCAAATGAATTCCGCTTTTCTCCAAAATAACTTCTGCCTTACCAGATTAGTTTAATCACCTGGTGGGATGCATCGCTGCCACCGGCTGTACAGGTCTTTTGCAGTCTTTGTTAAATTTCGAATTCCTATGCTTTGTGATTGCCATCTGGAACTACTTCTGGGACACGTTCACTTACAGTTTCGGCAACTGTGAACGGTTCAATATCAACATACTTGGCCCAGAGAGTCTCTTGAAGTAGACCGTTAACTACTTTTAGTTTTAACTCCCACTCGCTCGCAGTTTTTCAAGGTCTGCTTTTTGCTTTTCTGCTAACACAGCTGACTTCCAGGTTTTTCACTGTCCAGCTTATTTTTTGCGTGCACAATTTCCCCGCTTGAAAGGGAGGGACACATCATCGATGGAGGCTTTAACTGGATTCCACTCTTCTTTTGATAGCATCAATTATGACGAAAGTTCAAAATAGCCAGACAGAAGTTGAAAAACCTTTAACAGAAACAAAAATACAAAATATGTAAATGAATTGCAAATAAATCTTATTAATAATAATACTACGTTTTATTTATATAGCGCCTTTCCAGGGCTCAAGGACGCTTTACAATGAACAAGCAACAATAATGGCAATGGACAATGATAACAAACAAAACAACAGTAGGTAGATGAGAGTAAAAGTACAGTAAAGGATAATTATGTAGATGGGGCAGCATACAGCATACAATCAGACACAATGAAATGTAGTACAACTTAAGAATGGTGACATTCAGAAAATAAGTGAGTTTTGAGCATAGTTTTAAATTCAGAAATGGTGTTGACACAACAGAGTGATCGGGGGAGAGAGTTCCATAGTTTTGGTGCAACAACACTGAATGATCTGCACCCCATTGAAGCTAGGCAATGCCGAGGGACAACGAGAAGGCTAGAGTCGGAGGATCGTAGAGAGCGAGTGGGGGTGTAGGGGTGGAGCAGGTTACAGAGATAGGGGGGAGCCAAGCTGTGCAGAGATTTAAAAGTGAGCAGGACGATTTTGAATTTAATACGGTAAGCCACTGGAAGCCAGTGAAGATCATATAAAATTGGAGTGATATGGGCAGAACGTTTGGTGTGAGTAAGTAATCTAGCAGCAGAGTTTTGAATGTATTGCAATTTGGAAGTGGAGCTAGCAGATAGGCCAATAAAAAGGGCATTACAGTAATCAAGACGTGATGTGACAAATGCATGGATGACAGTTTCAGCGTCATTGACACTGATGAAGGGACGGAGCTGGGCAAGGCGAAGTAGATGAAAGAATGCTGATTTAGTGATAGAATTATCATGAGCCTGGAAAGAGAGTGGGGAGTCAAAGATTATACCAAGATTTTTAACAGTACTAGATGGTTTGATGTGGGAGCCTGCAATCTCACAGGTGAAGTTGGTAGGAATGTTGCTAGTGAGTGACGGAGGTCCAGTAAAAATAATCTCAGTTTTGTCCATGTTAAATTTTAGAAAATTTGAATGAAGCCAATCTTTTATTTCATGCACACAAGCAGAGATTTTGTCGGTTGTGACAGATAGAGCAGGTGTACAGATAGTGTATAATTGGATGTCGTCAGCGTAAAAATGATAATTAAAACCATGACGGTGGAAGATCTGACCAAGAGGTATTATGTAGATTATGAATAATAATGGGCCGAGAACGGATCCCTGGGGGACACCTTGCTTCAGGGGGACAGTAGGTGAGTGAAAATCTTGAACTGAAATGTAGAATTGTCTGTCAGAGAGATAGGAAGAAAACCTCTTATTAAACATCTGTTGTCATCATCATTGAGTTTGAATATCTCAAATGATATTATTAACAAGCTTTATATACTTAACTACAGTCTGCAACATACACAATTCAGAAGATTAACTTGAACGATTAGAAATACAATATATGTACTGTATATAGAATCAGATAAAATACGTTATTTTAACGATCTGCTTAATCACGCGTGAACTTCAGAAATAATTAATATTTTATTATCACTCTCCCGTGATTGAATCGAAATACAAACAAAGATATACAAATCAATACACAAGTAACTTAACATTGATATTTGCTACTCAGAACTACATTTAGCTTGAAATAGTCATGTAATGAGCAGTTAAAGAAAGTAGGGAATCTTTCCGTACCGTCATTCACAAACTGATTCGGCATCTACCGCTACACCAGCATCATTCTCTTCCATTTACAGAAGCAAAATGAATTATTAAAGATCACAGCGGCTGCCACTCCGGGAATTGATGATGTTTATAATTTCTGTGCACTTTTCACGTGTTCTCGTCTCGTGAGTTTGGACAGAGCTCACGTTAGCCTCGTCTCATCACAGCACTGACTTTCTTCCTCTCCGTTTCCTATTTTCGCCCCTCGCTCCGATTGGTTGAGAGACTACTAAACAGTAGGTAGTAGTTTTTTATTAATTTATATTTTATTCATGTTATTTATTCGTTTATATTCCATTTGTAATTTATATTTCCTCTAGTTTGACTTGACACACAAACGCAGTCGGTTATGTATCTGTTAATGTATTAACAGAGAAGACTATCCAGTATTTTTACATTTGATTACTTAGTTCAATTTCTGTAGTACTTCTGTACCTGCATACTACTGTTAGACCTACCAAACTCAAGTGCACTGAGATCTAAACATTATTGGCTCTGTAAAAAAATATGGACGTAGTGTCCGTGACGTCACCTGTAGGTTTCTGAAGAGCGTTTTTGAAGCCTAAAGTGGGCGGAGCCGGCCGTCACTATCTTGGCAGCGTGTCACCGCACGTCACTCCCGGATAATTGAAAATGGGCAAAGAGGCGGGACGTGGGTGAGGCTGAGGTGCTGGTTGCTGAAACCACGCTCCCTAGCTCGACGTGATCGAGTTTGCTCAGGCTAAGAAGCTAATGCTATATGATACTGGCCTCGTGCTAAAGTGACAGCTGACTTGAACTTTAAATATTGGATTTACTTCATGTTTTTGCCCTTTGAAATACTATAATAGTTAAAAGACATAACTAAAAGTGAGACTATGTGTATCGTGATGCATTATTCTGCTAGTTGTAACTGGATAATATTGTGAATGTTCTGATCTAATTTGACTTCTGACCTGTAATATTGCCTGAATCATAATCATACACTGTTCGTTCATTGGCCAGAGGAGAACTGGCCCCCGACTGAGCCTGGTTACTCCCAAGGTTTTTTTTCTCCATTCTGTCACTGATGGAGTTTTGGTTCCTTGCCACTGTTGCCTTGGCTTTTGGCTTGCTTAGTTGGGGACATTTAATATACAACAATATTTTTGATCTGCCTGCGTTGACACCATTGTATGAGAACTGAACTGAGCAGGACAATGACATCACTGTTTTCCCCAGAGAGGCTGTATAGATAAATTATCTAAATAACTTTTTAACTCCGTGTTCAGTGTTACCTCTACTAACTTTAGAGGTATGAAGTTAAAGAGAATATAAAGACAGTTTAGAGATCGGTTTCTCCGGCTGTATTCATATTTTCATTCATATATGCACATACATAATGGAAAAACAAAAACGTTTCCTCACAAAAATAAATTTTCAAATGAATGAACCATTTGACCCGGAATCATTTGACATCAGTCTGGCCAGTTCACAAATCAGACTGAATCAAACTCAGAATTCAGGAATAAGACAACTCGCTTCATTATATCAAACTTATAATAAGAGTTCTCACCTCAATACATGTACTTTTTTACACTTTGCACCTCTATTACTACTTGTAGGAGAGCAGATGTTGAATATAGGGGGCAGCACCAGCCCATGGAAGAATCCCTGTGTGTCCAAACTCAGTGACAGCGAGCTGAGGGATACAATGTGTACTCGCTGGGAGGAGGACAACATACCAAGGTGTGTTTGTGTTGCTATATGTCAATACATACCAGCATTGTCATACCAGATATGTAATTTTTACCTTTATTTCATGTGTGTTTTGCAGTTCTCTGGTTTTAGAGGAGGTGGAACGGATGAGTGTGTGCGAGCTGGAGGTCGATGCCGTGGCTGCTGATGTTCTCAACCGTTTAGAGATTGAGAGTAAGGATTTTTTTTTTTTTTTTTTTTTTTTTGTGAGCATGAGCGAGTCCCTGCCTACACCGGGTTATAACATCTGTGATTGCATACATCACTAATCAGTAATCGTTGTGGTTGCAACGATTCAAATTACTCACTGTTTGGTTTGTATCACGGTTTTAGGGTCACTGTTTCAGTACGATTCGGTATGTGCTATGTTCAGGGGGAAAAAGGACTACTTTCAAATTAAAATTAAGAACAAATAATCTAAATACAAGCAAAGATTCAAATAAGATAAAAAGTGTTTTTCAAGTAGGTCTAACATTAGAAATCAAATGGTAAAATAACATTGTGTATTTGACTGCATAAATTGAAGAATCCTTATTAAAGTTACTAAAGCTATTCAGTCTAGAGCAGTGAGTGTTGTCCTTGTCTTTTGTTGTTTGATTAACATTAAAATATGCCAGCAGCCATATCACCCTGTAGCCCAAGACTGGTTGCCCACTGAAGCTAAGCAGGGCTGAGCCTGGTTAGTACCTGGATGGGAGACCTTCTAAGACAACCAGGTTGCTGTTGGAAGAGGTGTTAGTGAGGCCAGCAGGGGGCGCTCACCCTGTGGTCTGTGTGGGTCCTAACGCCCCAGTATAGTAATGGGGACACTATACTGTCAAAGAGCACCGTCCTTCGGATGAGACGTTAAACCGAGGCCCTGACTCTCTGTGGTCACAAAAAATCCCAGGATGTCTTTCGAAAGAGTAGGGGTGTAACCCCGGGCATCCTGGCCAAATTTGCCCAGTGGCCTCTGTCCATCATGGCCTCCTAATCATCCCCATATATATATACCAATTGGCTTCATCACTATGTCTCCTCTCCACCAGTAAGCTGGTGTGTGGTTGGCGTTCTGGCTGCCGTCGCATCATCCAGGTGGATGCTGCACATTGGTGGTGGTTGAGGAGATCCCCCCCTTCTATGTAAAGCGCTTTGAGTGCCAAGAAAAGCGCTATATAAATGTAATGAATTATTATTATTATTGTTATTATTATTAAAAAGACCGACAGCAGGAATATTAGCCTGCTGTCACTTTAAGATATAATGCACGGATCCAGTTCCAGTACACCCTGATACTGATACACATGTCTCGACTGTTTCATTCACTTAAGATGTAACCGACTGTCTGCTAGGATACTCACCAAGACGGGTCGTTGACATAATTTATGTGTGAATTTGTCCGTTGAAGCACAAGATTGAAAGCTGAAAGCAGACTCCATATTTGCACGCTGTCTGAGATGCAGTTTTGTGCGCTTCAGATGAGTGCACACACAATCTTCTCACAGCGCGCGAGTTCTCATTCGCTTCTTCTGGCTCTCAAATGTTTAAATTGACAACGCTTAAATTAGTTTTGTTTAAACAGATAGCAACGTGTGCTATTCAGGCCTCGCTTGCGCGCTATCAACACTCAGGTGATGACTGTGTAAATGACTGGTCATTTTCGAGCATACGGCACTTCCATTGACGGTTTTAGGGTCACTGTTTCAGTACGATTCGGTATGTGCTATGTTCAGGGGGAAAAAGGACTACTTTCAAATTAAAATTAAGAACAAATAATCTAAATACAAGCAAAGATTCAAATAAGATAAAAAGTGTTTTTCAAGTAGGTCTAACATTAGAAATCAAATGGTAAAATAACATTGTGTATTTGACTGCATAAATTGAAGAATCCTTATTAAAGTTACTAAAGCTATTCAGTCTAGAGCAGTGAGTGTTGTCCTTGTCTTTTGTTGTTTGATTAACATTAAAATATGCCAGCAGCCATATCACCCTGTAGCCCAAGACTGGTTGCCCACTGAAGCTAAGCAGGGCTGAGCCTGGTTAGTACCTGGATGGGAGACCTTCTAAGAAAACCAGGTTGCTGTTGGAAGAGGTGTTAGTGAGGCCAGCAGGGGGCGCTCACCCTGTGGTCTGTGTGGGTCCTAACGCCCCAATATAGTAATGGGGACACTATACTGTCAAAGAGTTTTTGTCCGTTGAAGCACAAGATTGAAAGCTGAAAGCAGACTCCATATTTGCACGCTGTCTGAGATGCAGTTTTGTGCGCTTCAGATGAGTGCACACACAATCTTCTCACAGCGCGCGAGTTCTCATTCGCTTCTTCTGGCTCTCAAATGTTTAAATTGACAACGCTTAAATTAGTTTTGTTTAAACAGATAGCAACGTGTGCTATTCAGGCCTCGCTTGCGCGCTATCAACACTCAGGTGATGACTGTGTAAATGACTGGTCATTTTCGAGCATACGGCACTTCCATTGAACAAAGTTTACAAAGAGTGACAGAGAATGTGACAAACTTTGTCTGTCTGTTAATTTTCATCAAACCATATTATAGAAGCGTCGTCAGATTTAAAAGAACCGCAGTGCAAGTGCGTACCGATCCGTGGGTGGAGAATGTTTTTTTTTTTTTTTTACAGAGAACCATTACACCCCTAATGTACGCAAGGGGCCGCGTTATGTAAATATCACACTGCATGAAAAGGGTCGTATCTGGTAATATCAGACCATGGTAAATTGTGTAATTTCGGGTTTGCTGGATGTACATGAAAATACCTGGGCCGATTTATACAGTTTACACAATTTAGATTTCCAGAAATACCCAGATACTTGGCCTACATGGACATATACAGGAATCCATGAAATGTTATGGACATTCACAGCTGAAACACTGATGGCTGTCAGGTGTGAAGACCTTTCATATATTAATGACCTTGCAGTTAAAGGAATAGTTTACTTAAAAATTTCTTTCTTCTGCTGAACACAAGCATTTTCCTACTATGGAAGTCAGTGGGGTCCATCAACTGTTTGGTTTACCGACATTCTTATAAATATCTTTCTTTGTGTTTTATTTACTATTTTTCCCTAATAAAGACAGACAATCAATTATTGGCTAAACAATTTTTTATATCTGCCCACCTGCCCAATCAAATCACTCAGCTGTAAGAGTTTTGGGTGGGATACATTTTAAATATAACCAATAAAGTCACTTTGCATGGTTTTGGGTGGGTTAAAGTTGACCAATGAAATGACTTTTGTGGAAAGTCTGTGTGCTCAGTGGCCCAATAGCTGTCTGGTTAAATGTCCCCTGACAAAATCCTTAATGGGATTACTTGCCATGGCAACAGATGGCTGTAGCACGGTAGAATGCCTCAGCAACATGCATCCGAATTGGTACCATTACGGAAGTATCTGACCTCGTGAAATTTTATGTATACGGTCAGGATACTTGTGGATACTTCCAGAAATCATGTATGCAGGAGTTTACTAGTCCGGAAACACCTCTTTTCATGCAGTGAGAATAGAATGCGCATACAATACGCACTCCGCCCGGTTTTTGTAACAAATGGTTAAAGGGATTGATAAAATGATACATGATTACGAATGAATAAATGAAATCAGTTCTCAAATTAGACCAGTCACACATGCGCATTGGATCTGTTTTGCACTAACCAGTTGTCTACAAGGTGCCAACACTGGCACGGGCCAATGTTTCGAAGTAGAAAATAAAAACTAAAGAGACGGAACAACAACAACAACAAATTATCAGAGACTACAACAACATACACCCACACTGACAAGCACTTATGTGAGGGGGTTATGAGATAGTCGCAACTTTAGTTTAAAAAAGCCGAAAGTAAATTACGCATACAAGACCATTGCTGCAACAAAATTATATTTTAAATATTTACCAAATTAGAAATCATTAATTTGAAAATATATCAATAAAATAATTTGAACTTAAAAATATGTAAAATAAACCGATTTATACTTTAGATATGAACTTTTTGATTCTGTAATGTTATTATAGTTGTTTTCATATTCATATTTTTTCATTTTTCTTTTCATAGTTTCTAAAAAAAAGGCAAGATAGCAGTTATGTTACATACAGTACACAGTGAATAAGACATAGCGGCCAACTGGAATAGTTTGTCACGCAGAATACACACGTTTTTTAGCAGGCTACAAATGTACAATTTAACAGGTCTAAAAGCTGGATTTGCCAAAGTTGCAAGATTTGTGGAATTAAATGTCCAGACCATCTTTACACCTGTGTATAGCAGTGACCACTTTCACCCAATGGTTGTTGTGCTATCATGTATTTTTTGCTTGTTGTGAAAAGCAACGTGGCAAAATCAGACTCTGTTGGATTCGACTGTAAGCCTTATTTGAGTCTTTCTGGAGTCGTGCTATTTGTGTGGTGAACTCATGCTTTTTTTATGTTGTTTCCAGATCAGATTGGTAGAAACCCTGGTCTCCAGGCCATCTGGGATGATGAGAAACAGCGACGACGGGAGAACAGTGAAAGCTCTCATATTGAAATGCCTGAATCGCAAGGTGAGAAAAGCTCTTGAGAGCATTATTTTTGTGCAGCACCACTATTAATATTATTTACCATCCTGCCCAACTCTGTTTCGATGGTTACTGTTTCAGATCGAGGCTTTGTAGAGTTTGCAGAGAGTGAAAGAATCTTCATGAAGAGGTTTAAGGAAATTCTCAGGGAAAATGCATTTGACGTGTGAGTGAAGTTTATCATAACTTTTAAATAAATGTTTTTCTTCCGAGTCTCGAGGGACAAAAGAGATTTCAGTGAGATGTTTTAATCACTACCCAGTCTCCTGACAGGTGTGTAGAAATCCTTCAGAAGACTGGGGGAGAGGATGCTGGAAGAATTGAATTGCGTCAGAGTGCGTAGGTAGAGTTGATGTTGATTTTACTTGTTTTGTAGGACTCAGACTGGGTCTGAAGTCGATTCTTTTCCTGAGCTCTCACTCCATCCTGCTGTGCTTAGCCCAGATGACTTGCCTTTCATACCTGCCAGCCAAGTGGATGTGCATCAAGATGCTGTCAAAGGTGAGATGCACAGTCTTGAGAAAGCTAACATACAGATTTTGTGTTCAAACTTATTAGTGGTGCTTCCGAAGCAAAACATCACTATTATTATCTCACATGCTTATTAGCGTGCATCACTATTATATCAAATGCTTAATATTAGCGGCGCTTGGGAAGCAAAGCTTTTAAAGAAGTGTTCTAAGATGGTTGTAATAATAAAATAAAAAACTCTTACTCTTATGAATATTATAAATGTGTGTAAGGGTCAATTATTGATTTTTCTAGATGTTAATATGTTGTCATGAGATGCCTTATTTTATTATGTTGGCTTTAAAAAGGATGTCAATCTCCTTTAGAAATATAATTTAATATGAAATCAATTTGAAGCATTATAACTGAAATCGGCTAAATAAGAAATGTTTTTCATTGAAACCTCCCTGAAACACTCGCACACATAAAAATTCATCCTTTCATGAAGGCAAAAGTCTAACTCTGATTGGTTGACTTCAGTAGGTTCTCCGGGATTGTATATTCTGTCGCAATATCGAGTTCTTCTAAGCTATCTGGGATGCTTAGATGATGAAACTGATCAGGAAGATTATTAATAAAGCAATCTTTAGTGGCAGAAGTGATAGGTCTAACATATTTTTAACACTGAGTCGGATTTGCAGCCTTGGCTAAATTAAGTTTACACGAAACTATATAATGACCTGAGATGTCATCGCTCTGCTGCAGAATTTCAACAGCATCAACATTGATTCCATGCGATAATATCAGATCTAGAGTATGATTACGACAATGAGTAGGTCCTGACACGTGTTGTCTAACTCCAATAGAGTTCAGAATGTCTCTAAATGCCAATCCCAATGCATCTTTTTCATTATCTACATGTATATTAAAATCACCAACAATTAGGACTTTATCTGCAGCGAGTACTAACTCTGATAGAAAGTCAGCAAATTCTTTGATAACATCTGAATTGTGCCCTGGTGGCCTGTATAAAGTAGCCAGCACAACCTTTGCCTTTCAGACGAGGTTCATGTTTATAACAGTAATCTTACGGGTTGGACTCATTTAAAGTAATGTAATCGTTTGGTTTTAGCCAGGTTTCTGTCAAACACAGCACATCTAGGTTATAGTCTGTAATCATATCATTAACAATAAGTGCTTTTGAAATAAGGGATTGAATATTCAGCAACCCAAGCTTTATCATTTGTTCATTTGTATTAAATCTGTTTTTTATTTGTTGAACATCAATTCAATTTTTAACCTTAGATGGGTTTGGAAGTTTTTTGTATTTCCTAATTCGGGGAACAGACACATGATATCTAGGTGAAAGAGGCTCTATGTTTAAAATTCGCACGTCAGCGATATTTGATCTAATATCTCTGGTTTATAACAAAGATCTCTAAATTTGAATGCTTCTTACTTGATCTCACAGCAATGTTATTAATTCTGTGGCAAATTCAATGGCTTTCTTCACTGGATCTCCCAGCACTGTGTAGTAACGGTGTCACGTGATCGAGATCGGCCCGCTGGAGTAGCTCGCAGCTTTTTGGTCCGAACTAATAAACGGTCCGTGGAAACCTGGCAATAGATTATAATGGGTTCTATTTGGTCTATCTGGGTTTTATTTTAAATCGAGTTGTTGCACCACTTAATTTTAAACATAGATTAACAAATCTGGCATTAGAATTCAAACCTGTGATTAACCTCCATTTACACTGAATTTTCTTTGCCATGATGGATTCGCCATTAAACAACATTCCATTTCCTCCTTTATTGACCACCAGAAAAACTCTTTCTGACAAAGTAGCTCTTCCAGATAAAGAAAATTAACTGTCTTTTATAAACTGCTATGTAGAGAGACCGTACTGATCAAGCGGGCGATGAAAACATTGCGGCAGCGTGTGCAGATTTCATAAGCCTGGAAATATATTTAGAGTATAAATTAATGGAGTAATATGGCATGAGAAACGAGAGGCGATCAGTGGCGCTCACCTCATCATTACAGCTGCCGTTAAATGCTAAATATATTTCTTTCTTCTTTTTTTGTGCTACACCGAGACGAGTGACGGATCCGCATCCCGGACTCGATAGCAGGTGGTAGCTTACGGGCCGCCACGACCCTCGCACTCTGCTCTCTGTGAGCTTTTTTTAAATGTGTAATAAACACCTTTATGAGACCTGATGACACACCCACTGTTTCTGTCTTTATTCAATCAGCCACATATTTTAATTGTAGGTGCACTTTATTTTATTTAATCCTCCTCCCCATAGGCGACGATTTATGTTTCTGCCGGTGGGTGCCCAGTTCCCACACTCCATACTACACCCCCCCCCCCCCCCCGCCCCCCCCCCCAAAAAACTGGTGGGGAAAGTATCGACCCTCGCAAAAAGGGGTTGGGACATGTCCCTCGATATTATGCCTGTTACCAACCAACCAAAAGCACATTCTTTCCATCAGTGTTGTCACGAGTCGCGCCCATAGTTGCTGATTAGTAGCGGTTCAGTAAATAAAATAATTAAATAAATACCTATTTACAATAAGCACTTAACGCAAACTATTAAATAATAAAATAACTTGAGAACTGGCTGACTAAAATCAGCTTGAAAATGTTATCTCATGAAATAAATGCAAATTTCTTTATGATTTATAGGTACACGGTGTTATTTCGTCAGTCAATCGTGAAAGTCTAGTGGTTGAAAGCTTTTGGCAACATAAACTCTCTACTTGCTCTTTCTCTAGAAGGGTCTTCTCTCCTGGATTTAGAGTACACGTAATATCTGAGCGAGAGCAGACAAGAAACATGAGACTATATTTGAGAACCTGCGTCCAGTTTTGTGCGAGAGTGAAATAAATCCGCCTGCGAGTTGAGAGATTTGTGCTCGTGCATTACTTGGAAGCGCTCTCGACATTTGTCATTAAAAAACACCATAGAAACGGCCTCAAATAAACTATAAAAAAGGTGAAGATAATCGTGTCTGAAAGCTGCAATCGATTTTTATATTGGTTTAAATCAAAAGAGAATATCTCGTATCTCATACGGGATCGGCGCCTATGCTCCTCACATGTAACTTTATAGTGCCCCTTTTATGCTATTTTAAAGATTCCTACAACAGGTTTACATGCATCAAAGGGTCAAAGAACGCTTTAATTTTCTCATAATATTCAACGCACATCACATTTTTCAATGATTCTCAAACGACTCGATGGATGAATCAGTCTCTCTAAATCCCTCCTTTCCACGAGCCTACTCTGCTCTGATTGGCCAGACAGCCCAGTCTGTTGTGATTGGTCTACCGCTTACAGCGCCAAACGAAACGCCACATTACCATGACTAAATTTCAGCTCCGGAGACTTCCTAAAGCTCAGCGATTATACAAACTGTAAAGACTGTAACGATGGCATCATTTTTACCATATCAATCTGAGTCTGATGATGTAACATTGGAAAGATCTAGTTATTCAACGAGAACCTCCATCGCAAGGACGACTTGAGAAGGACGTCTCTCAGTGATACACTACTCAGTTTGACGTACATTGAGATCTTGCAACTGTAATTCCTCACCATCATCACTAACAAGTGTATGTCCATCAACAAAGAAAAGTGTGTATTTCTAATTTATTGCAGTGCACATATGGGAACTGCATCATTAACTGTATCAATAACAGCGGAAACGTTAACGTGAATGACTGATGTAACATTAAAGTTTGCAAAACAAATCTTGCTCCATTCTTTATCATTACTCATAGTAAGAACAACAGACAATCTGCATTAATAGACCCAGTTTTAGGTAATAGTGGCCCACAGCTGCTTAGCAGAAGTATTTCAGTAAGACAGTAATAACGTGAGTTAGCCAGTTAGCCGGAGACTTGCACAATATAAAATGGATCTTTAATGGATAAGAGTTTTGTAAATCCTTACAGATTTGAGAAGCAATCATACTGCTGTTGTATCGCTGTGGTCGTTTTAAACATTGACTCTTCACATCCTCGAACAAAGAGAATTTGCTTTTGCAAGAGCAGAAAACGGCATATTCTCAACTTGTACTCAACACAGCGTTTGAGGGCGGGTCAAAGTAGACGTTGTTCGCGGGCAATCAATGAAGACCATAGGCAGGCATTATGCAGATGTGTCTGTCGCCTCTGGCTTGCTTAGTTGGGGACACTTAAAACAATATTATTGAAATGCCTGCATTGACACCATTGGATGAGAACTGAACTGAGGTGGACCATGACATCACTGTTTTCTCCATATAGATAAATTAACTAAATTAATAACTTTTTTTACAACAGAAATTAATCCACAATGAACTTACTTAAACTGGACTAGGACACTATTTTCCTCTAGAGCTGCTGTAAAGCCAAAACAAACTTTGTTGCATTAGTTTCCTGTTATCACTATAAAGCTGCTTTGAAACAATCTGTATTGTAAAAAGCAATATATAAATAAAGGTGACTTGACATTTTACTTAGTGACATGTAGCCATAACATAGAGGGATTTGAATTACTGACGACTCGTTTAGGCGATTCAGAGTCGATTCTTTCTTTTGAGAAACAATAACTTTATTTATTGTGTACTTTCGGCTTCACAACTTTGCAGATCGTTTACATTCACATTTACATTCACAGAGCTATGTTACACATAGCATGAAAGGTAATATTCGAAAAAGCATAATGGGGCACTTTAAAGTTAATCTCTAATTGAGATTTTATATCTAAGTTATGGAGAAGCAGGATTAAAGTTTATCTATCTTAAATATAAATATATCCAGGATAAAAATGATGGTTTAACTGTCAACCTGCTTACTTTTAAACAAGGTTTAAAGTTTGGGGCATCAGTATTATTAGATAAACCTTGATTTCATCTAGATTTAAGATGAATTCTTATTGGTACAACCCACCCATAATAACCTGTGGTTTACGAAGCATGTGAGTAATGTGGGCCGATTTAAAGTGAAGATCTTGTCTGGCTGATTCAGTGTATGATTGAGAGGATAAATCATGTGATTGATTGCCCATTCCTTTTGACTGATTTATTTAAATGATTCATGAGTTGAACTGCAAGCTGCACTATTATGATTTTGGTTTCTTTTATGGTTTTTGCGTGCAATGAATCAGCAAAGCTTATGCCATCGCAAGACAACAGAGCTCTGATGATTCAGCAGCAGTGCTTAATAGCAGTGCAGGAAACACTGGCACACTGGTTTATGAGAAATTATAATGTAACACTAGATGCATGAAAATTGCTTCAAATTAAACCCTTTTACCCTTTCATTGTCACAAGAAAGAGTGACAAGCAGCTTCATGCTGAGGAAAGAAAACTGCAAAAACAAAGAGACTGTACATGAAAATTTAAAATTAGTGGTGTGGGAAGCTTTCTCTCTGACTGTTTCACTTTTTGACAATGTATGATGAAATGTCTAATTTTTTTCCTTTTCACCATATAGATACAAAAAGGCATGGTGGGAAAGATGCTGAAGTGGCAGTTGTTGATGAAGAGGCCATTTTAAGTTTGTTGGAAAACAGTCAGACCTTCCTCCCTCTCTCTCAGAGAACCAACCAATCAGCAATACTTGGTACCGAGACTATCATAACAAATATAATATCTGATTCCACAAGCAGTGTTGTCGCACTGCAACTTTTTTTCTTAATCAGTATTTTAAATAAATCAATACATAAATACATCAAAATATATTTAAAATATCGTTTGTAATTGTGTAAGATAATACAATTGGTGTATTCACAGATCATTTTAATCTTTTATTTTTGTTTAAAGTTTGTATATCTTATCCCATTTTCTTTTGTTTTATGCATAAAACAATAGATTGGCATTTCAATGGATTTATTTTATTTTATAGATATTATATTGGAAAACAACAAAAAATCCTGATTAAGAAAATAATTCTTTCAAATCTTTATTTGCATCTCTTTATATTCACATTCATTTCAGTTTTGCATGTGTGTACATATGCATAATGCATCTTCTCTTATACATGTTCTTATAATATTTTTTTAATTTATATTTACATATTCAACAATGTTTTTTTAACAGACAGCAATCAAGACCAGGCCATGGTTGATCTGCTAGAAGCATTGGCAGATGATGGGTTTAGAGCCGACAGGTCCAGAGCAGTGTCCCAGCAGCTGTCTGCTAGCTGTGGCTATAACAGTGATGATGAGGAAGCTGGGCCTGAACTGGAGAAAAATGAGTCAGAGCTCAGTAAAATCATGTCACAAAGATGGGACAGTGACATGCCAGAACCCTCTGCCAGGAAAAGGTCACAAAATTTCACTTATGGATTTTTGTAATTGTCTGCTTTTAATTCTTGTTTACATTTAAATGATTAGGCAGAATCATTTGATCAGGAAACTCAATTTATTGAGCCCTTTTTAACAGGTATTTAGAATAAAAAACTAGCTGGTCCACAGCAGACATTATATAGTGCGTGTGTGAGTTATGACTGTGCATTATTTAATTTGGTGGCATGTTGTTTAATCATAATCTGTGTTGCCTCCCTGCACAGATTATGCATGAAAGAAGCAAATGAAAGCTCCAGCGAAGAACAGCAAGCCTCATCAGATGAAGAGGTGTATTGGAGTGGAAACAGTGCTCTCCTTACTGGCTTGTCCATTCCACAGTTGGATGGAGCTGCAGATGAGAATAGTGGTAAGCTCAATTTTAATTAAGTATTTTAATGAACTACAATGACAAGTATGATTGCTTTTGGTGCAGTGGTGTATCCATAGTTGTCTTGTTTCCTGTAGATTCATCACTAACAGACAAAGGATCAAGGACACATTCATCTCTAATAGCAACAGAAAAGATCCTTGGTAGAAGAAATGTTTTTCCAAATGAAGCTGTCCGTATGGAGCCACCGTCCTCTGCTAAAATTGTTCTTGAGTACAAATGTGCTGAACAGAGACTCAATCAAGAGGATTTAGCAGATAAGCATTTAAAAAGTCAAGAGGCAAACGAATGTTCAACTGGATTAAGAGTTAACAAAGAGGTGCCATATATTCAACCAGTTAAACACCCAGTCCCTTCCAATACAGCAAATATATCTAAAATTGGTGCTGAAAAAATTGGTATGCACCCTTTGTACACTGGTGAAAACCAAGCCACTGGTCTTAATCAGCCAGATCCTGATGATTCAGTGTTTGGAAACTCTAAGCTTCCCCTGAGCATAAAAAAATATACCAGTATTAAAAATTTGGAAAAGAACCATTTATCTATCCTGGAGAATCACAGGAGCTTCTCTGTATGTTATTCTGAGCTGATGAACTGCCCCACCAAGACTGAAATGGAACTCAGTCCAAATGATTGCAGAAGTACTGTGATAAGTTTTGACCAGACACAAAGCCCTGTGGAAGAGAGTCAAGCTTTGGTCCCTCAAGAAGCTGAGACAGGACAGGGAGGAAAAGAGGAAGATGTTGGTGAACTGAAAATAAGATACGAGGACTACCAAGAGAATAAAACTGAGAGGACCATTGTGGCACAGCAGGAGGCACACTACAAATTTTTTCCAAGCGTAATTCTGTCTAATTGCCTGTCCAGACCCATCAAAAAACAGGCCTGGAACAAGACTGGGGATGGTTGCTGTATCTTAGACAATCCTGAACAGCGAAGGTCAAGGTTAAAGTTGACCAAAAAGAGAACTACATTAGGTCAAAAACGGGTAAGTCCTGTAAGGACTCCATCTCCAATGAAAGAGGAAGTCACAGTGCTTCCTTCCATCACTCCAGACTTTCTCCCAGAAATGTATAAGGAGGTTGACACGAAAACTTCAGATCCACCAACTATTAAAGGTTTACTTGAGAGCTCAATAGATGAAAAACTTGCAGATATTCCCATCAAAGTCTCTTGCACAAAGGTGTCCAGTTTGCCAGGTAGCAAATATACCTTGCGGACAAAAAGAAAAAGGAGTTGCGACAGTGAAAAGGGGGATCATGAAAGTTCTGGTTCTTTCAAACAAGCTTTGGTGCAACATGAAGGCTTTAAAGGCAAAGATCATGTCTTCAGCCAAAAAAAGAGGAAACTGGCTAAAAAAGAGCCACCAATCATCATCAAATATATAATCATTAACAGATTCAAAGGTCAGAAGAACATGCTAGTGAAGATTTCTAAAATTAAGGCTGAGGAAACGCACACAGTTTTAACACCAGAAAAGCTTGCCGAATACAAAAAGCTCGCTCCTCTCAAAGAATTCTGGCCCAAAGTGCCAGAGTCTACGGCAGTGAAGTACCCGCTACTTGAGCCAAAAGTAAAGAAATGTCCTAAACGAAAAACCAAGGTCAACCCAATATCAAAGAGGGCCAGCACCTCCCCAAGATCTAGATGTCCACGAGCAAATCAGACTAGGAGGGCAAAGCGGCCCAAAGCATTGTTAAATTTGCCAAAATTACCCCCTCCATGGCCTTGTTATAATGATTTCACTGATGACTGCTGTACAGAGTATTCTGATGTGATGGTGGAGTTGGGTTATTTGTCAGAAAGAGCCCCCAGTCCTACTGATTCAACCCCACCAAGATGTTGGTCTCCTACGGAGCCTTTACTGGAATCAAATTCAAATGATCATCTTATAAACCCCCATAATGATCCATGTCTAGGTTCACCCTATCAAGCACTGGCTTCAAAACCATGCCGAAGAGGTCTGTGGGATAGAAGCAGCACACCCAGGCCTAAAAAGTCTTCTGCTACCAGCCCAAAAAGACGAATTAATACCTCAACAAAGTCAGGGAACAAAGATTCTGTGAAAACTGAGGAGTCACAAAGGAGAAGTATTCCAGCAGCTTCAAGGAGGCAAAAAAAACAGTGTGAAGGTATTGAAGGGACTGTTCTCGGAGATGGCACATCAACTTCTCAGAAAGGCGGGATGCTGAATAAGAAGCAATCCCTGAGAAAAAAGCAGGTCAAAGGTAAGAAGAGTAATAATTCACAGGCTTCACATTCAGTTGACACTGCACCTATTACTTCCTCATCTGATGACATGACTCCTTTCCAATGTCCCAGTTTTCAAAAAAGCAGTCAAGAGGATCTTACTGTCAGTTGTTCAGACTTCAAAACAGAGGTCACCAGCATAGGAAAAAGGTCAAATCAAGATGTTTTTCTCATCAATGCCATTTCCTCAAATGACTCGCAAAAAGATTCACAGATTACACCCAATACCTGTATTGAAAAACCTCTGAACAGTATTCTTTCCCCAGCCACAAAGTCTGTTGGTTATCCATGTTCTGTCATCACATACAGCAGTTCCAATTCAAAATCACAAAATACTAGTCAAGATGGGACCATTACAAAAAATCCCTATGAATTCAATTCAGATGCCTCTGGCCATGAAGAAAGCCCCAGTATCGTACAGCATTCACAATCAAACAGAAAAGCCACTGTAAAGTCAAGAAGACCGCAAACAAAAAAGAAAGATACCGTAACAACTTTATTGGAGTCTGTTGATTGTAGATCCTCCCTTATGTCCTCTGTTAAGAGTGCAATTACAGATGGATCTCACACAGGTCTCACATTGCCGTCAGACCCTAAAAATAGGGAAATGTTTGTTCCTGAGATCCCTTCTGGACTGGCTGTCTTGAAAGAGCTTCTCCAGAAGAGGCAACTCAAGGCAGGAAAGGAACCACATAAAAGTGATCAAATGACTGAGATTGTGTTTTCTACCAGTCAATCAACTGATATTTCCAAACCAGCCAAATCTAGAAGAGCTCTTTCATCAACATCAAGAAAAGCAAGGGGTGCAAGAACTAAAGTGCCAAAAGAGTTAAAGTCCAAAATCAGAAGTAAGAAAAGAAAACCTGATGATTTGAGAGTTGACTATTTTTCATCAGATGACAGTCCTGTGTTTTTGTCTGATCCTGGCTTTGACAGCTGTTGCTCTATTGAGGATAGCTTGTCCCCGGAGCTCCCAGACAATTACAGTTTTGATATCAATGCCATTGGCCAAACCGAGTTCTCCAGTCTGTATTCAAGTAACCAGTTTGTGTTAACTGACAAGCACTTGCCTCAGAAGTTCCTCAGTGATGTCAGTCAGGAGGCAATCAATGCCCTGGTTGGGTTGGGGGACAGATCTCAAAAGATGTTTGACGTTGATGAGAACAGCAAGCATGAACAGGACTGGAACAAGTCTGGGGCTCTTAGTCCAGAACTCTTTGATAAGACATCTTGTGAAAATGGCAGAGTTTATACCAGTAAGGTATCTCTGTCTCTGCTTGATTCAGAAAAGATCTTTAGCAAAGATTGGGTGGGCTCTTTAGGTAAAATCCATGGCCTCAGCCACTTTCAGGACTTTCACTGTGAAAAGAGAGATGTGTTGCTTGACCCAGAGCCCTTTTCCCCCCTTACTTCTGCTAATTTTGCTTATAGTGGTGTTTCCCCAAATAGTGATCCCCTAGATGGCAGTTCAGCAACACCAAGCAGTTCCCCACGGTCCATCAACTCACTGTCCCAGCTGAAAAATGCTGGTCAGAGTTCAAAGAGCGGAGGAACTCACATTCTCAAACCTCTCATGTCTCCGCCTACTCGAGAAGAAATCTTAGCTACTTTGATTGATCTGGACCTCTCAGAAGCCACCTACCAGGAACCATTCTGCAGTGACCCATCAGATGCACCATTGAAGCCAAGGTAAGAACACACAACATTTATAATGGATGAGTGAGTGCATGAGTTTTGTGTTTGTATATTCAAATTTTTAAGTTCGATTATGAAATCATCCATAACCATTCATACTGTTTTTTCAGGGAGGTTGGTGGTCGGAAGTTGATTTTGGAAACCAGGCTGGCGAATGAACTAGTTGAATTTCATGGAGACTTATCTCAAGACGGCTTACATTTTTGGAAAGTTGCATTTTGTGCCATGACAAATCAAGCCTCTGCACCAACCTATGGGTTTAAATCATCTATATTTATCAAGGACCAAAACCCATCTTCTGGCAGTGATCACAAAGTGATCATGCTTCCCTGCAAGTGTGCTCCAAGCCCAGAAGAGGTGCAGCTCTGGCTGCAGGCCAAAAAACAGTATGAGTGCCTTCAGAGGGACAAGAAACAAATGTGTGGCCAGGCAGTTGCAGAGCTGATGCAGAGTACATATGACAAGATTTCATCTCAGAAAAAGGACTTGAATTCGCCTTCCTCAGAGCATCATGATAAAACGCTTGAAAAAGCTTCAGAGTTGCAGAGTATCAGTAGGAATGGCTTAAGTTTACCCCACCTTTTCTCACCAGTTATGGCAGCTTCATCTGACACTAGCCCTAAGAGTGTGAAATGTACCTTGGACATGGAAACAAACAAAAGTTATCAGATTATCACTTCTCCAAACTCTCCTGAGATTTCTACATGGCAGCAAGGCCTAGCTGAGATTAAACAAGATGAGGACAAGGAGGATTTTACTGATGGATTGCAATTCCCTGACATGGATCAGTCTCAAAATCTCAATGGTACTGAAAATGTACTGCCAAAGGACCACTTGAGTCCATCACTTTTTCCCATTAAAGACCCAGATGTCAAATGCTCTTACCTGCTCCATAGCACACCTGTCCACAGGAGAAGCTGCATTGACGACGATGGGTCAAGCTGTAGTCCAATAAGAAATGAGGGTATGTTTTTATGGTTTTCATTGGAGTTTAAATCTTTTAGCTAAAAGTTGTTCAGTTCTGTTATCAATAATGAATGGTGGCTGAGAAGTGCAAAACAAATCACAATACTGAAAACAAAATAAATCAAAAAACAAAACTACAAATTATTCAGAAAACAACAAATTTGAAAACAAAATAAAAAGTCAAAACACAACAAGAAGTCATACAAAACTGAAAAGGTAGATATATTTTGCAAATGGAATATATACAGCTGATTGGACAAGAAATCTACATCTATCCCACAGGATAAGCTGAAAATGCTGCAGGCAGTTGAAGGTCGATTCGTGTGTGCATGTTTTAAATATTACAGCTGTATCTACGATAATTGTTTTAATGATGCGAGCTGACGTTGACATTGCCAAGTATGTCACTCACCTTGCAAAAAAACACAACAGACAAAAGCATGCCTTGTTTGTGTACAATTAAAATGCCCCTATTATTCAAGATTCAGTTTTTTTGGTATTTTTTTATCATATGATCTAGTTTAGCACATCACACGATCAAGAGTGCTGTTTTTTCCTGAATAGCACAATTGCAAATGTGATATTGATTTTTATAAAATTAAATAAACAAGAAGTTATTATTGTGAATTTCATTTTAGACACAATATTGTCAATATTGATTATTTTTTCGAACAACGAAAATCGATCCAAGCAAAGCCACTGCACAACTGTTGTGCATCTCCAAGCTACTCAGCTGTGTTTTGATACAGAATGAATCTGTTTTTTTTTAAATAAATTGGATGAGTCAATGATTCAGTGACCCATTCATAAAGACTGTAGTTACTGAATGAATCAGCCGTTTGAACGAATCGTTGAATTGACTGAATGACTCAAGACTTGGTGTTTGAGTTTTATATTTAATGTATAATTATTATTATTTTTTCATATTTCAGTATTTAAAAATAACTTTAATCTCGTAGCATTATGTGTGCTATTGTAACAGCAGCATAAATGCATTCATGGGAAGAAAAAAGGAATTCAATGCAATTTCTTTTTGGAAACTTTTCTTAGGTTGTTGGCAGAGGCTATTAGCACCAAGTGCAAATAGTTTTAAGCAAATAGTTTTTTGGGTCGCTACCAAAAGTAATCTATCAATAGCTGGTTACATCTGCAGACCTCATGCCTCGCTGCAGCAAACCTATGGCAGACACACTTGTAATCGTTCTTCTGTTGTTTTCAGAGGCCATAGAAATGTCTTATGTTACATAAGTTACATAGTAATAAATAGTCTGTTTAAATGGTTTTTGCAATGGTATTTAAAGTAGTACAGAGAATTTTAAAGTTTACTGGTAGTAGTACCGACTACTAACATTTTGGTATCGTATCAAACATGTTTTGATATCCTCCAACTAGATGAATTCATAGTCTAAAGCTAAAAATTCGGAGTCTCTGCCTATCATACACGCAATAGGCACAGTAGGACAGTAGTGTATGACAGTCTGTGCCTATCATACACTACGCAATTTTCTGTGAAATCTGTTAACTCCGACTGCCCAAAATCTAAAGACCGGCACAACCATTGTCAACTCATCTAGGGCGCAAATCTGGACAAAAATCTAAGCAAAAGTCATGTAGTGTATTCCAGCCTTAAGCCACTCTTTCGTGGTCTTGGCTGTGGTCTTAGGGTCATTTTCTTGTTGGAAGGTGAACTTTGTTTCTCGTAGTCTGAGACAGCAAAACTCTAAAACTTACCTAAACACATAATTCACTGCAGTTTCCATCTGAAAGTAACACTAGAGGCAGTATATGGTTTTACCAAAGTGCATGGCTTGTAAACTAATACTTTTTGACATTTACATCACATAACCAGCATCATATGTAAGACTTTTCTGACGTAGTAATCTTGCTCAGATAAAGATGTTGCCAGATCCACATTCATCTGTTTTGGATAAAACTGAACACACTTTAGCACCACTCACTAGACATTTCACTTTGAAAAGTGTAATATGTGTAGTGTAACATTATGATCTTTGGAACTTCCCTTGAGTGACCATCGGGTTCCTGGTCACCTCTCTTACCAAAGAGCCACCTCTACCAACCACCTCTCTTTTGCTTTGTCATTATGGGGTGTGTAGTGTAGATTGATGTAATAAAAAAAAAAAGTAAGACTGCACCATACGAACATATGAAAAAATAAAGGGGTCTGACTCTGAATACTTCCTGAATGTTCTTTACAGTTAAAGAGAGAATATATTTTTTCATTCTTTCTGGCACAAAGTAACCTATTGGCTGTATTTCAGTAATGATGTGTGCAGTCACAAGTTCATTCAGCGAAGGATTCATCAAATTGTTTCAAATTGATAACTCCTGATTTTGTGAATCTTTTTGTCCATAATGGCATTTCTTTGTGAATCGGGCCACACAGGCTGTATGCTTGTTTTTGCGTACAGCCCATGAAAAGTTGTGATGTGTGACACGTTTGTAATGCGTCATGTCAGAAATATGTAGATACAAATTATGCTTATCAACTTAACTTGATTGCTTATATTTCTGACATGGCATAAATGGGTCACCATTCCCAAACTTGCACAACTAATTCATTTCCACTCTGCGACCCACAGTTTAAAAACCATTACATTTTATGAATGATTCAGATGACATAACCAGCGTTTCAAGCTCAGTATAACTATGAATTAGTCATGATTTCTTTATCAATTTTATTTTTGTTCCAAGACAGCCAATGTCTAAACACGGCCTTTTAGCCACTCATTGCAAAACTCTTTTGTATCTGTTCTTGTGCAGACATGGAGCCCAGATCACAGCGGCTACATCGGAAGAGTAACAAAAAAAAAGATGCTTTACGGAGAGTATTGCTTACCACACAAATTAAGGTCAGATCAAAGTTTGTGAGTTTATGAATCTCCCGAAGATACAATGTTATGTGTATTATATAGTAATAATAGTATATTGTATTATATTAATTGCAGTTTTTATAGCACATTCATTTTATCCCATTCAGAATCAGCTTACCAATGTGAATGTTCCAAAGAGAGAGAACTCCCAGATTGAGGGACCGTCAATCTGTAATTCATATGGCTTTAAAGTCAGTATGCAGAACTTGCAGGAGGCCAAAGCATTGCATGAGGTGGGAATTGATTTTTGTCTTGTAGTAAGAATAGCTTTCTCTAAACTGGGTGATTGATCAAGCTTGCATAAAAATGTAAAGTGGAGAAAGCTTTATTGTCTTGATTTCATCTCACATGTTTAGAAATTCAAGTCCATTTTCATTTCACTATTCTCATTTCAAGTTTGAATCCCCCTACTGCAGGTACAGCACCTCACACTGATAAGCATGGAGCTTCATGCAAGGACTCGACGTGACCTTGAGCCTGACCCTGAATTTGACCCAATTTGTGCTTTATTCTACTGCCTCAGTTCTGATGTCCCTCTCCCCAAATCTAACACTATCCAGATGACGGGGGCCATTGTCATTGATAAAGATTCTTGTGGTTCATCTGAAGGTGAGATCGGTGTTGATTTACTTACTATTACTGATGTGTACTAGTCGTGACATGGAAAAGCAACAAACTAGAAGTCTCCATGTTGATGCGGCATGTGGCAACCATTTAGGCGATAAGTGAACCCTACTTGTTAGTTTCAGGGGTCATGAGGAATCAAACTTTCTTTGATCTTCTGACATATAGGTCATTATACTTTAAGTCTGTATACTGAAATTCTGTAGATTTCAGACATAAAATCTTTGCATTTGTTGAAACCAAGGTGTCAAAACTATTAATTTTTCTAATTCACAATGGCTATGTTTACATGCAAACAAATAATCCATTAGTAATCGGATTGACAACTCAATCAGAGTTTTATCAGATTGAAACCGAAACTGGAAAGGACTGCGCATGTGCAATGACGTGGAAATGACGTAATGACGTGCGGAACGAGCTGCAGTCGTAAATGACTCGTGTTATTCTAAAATTTTCCTACCACTCATTTTCTGTGAAGTGGAGCAGAACAACGTCCCATCAGTCCTCACGTCATACTCTCATCCACAGACACTTTTTGTAGGCGTGGGAATGGGCATTTCTACTGTTTGATAAATACTAAATGAGCAGGGCATAACGGTTCATGTGCTCGACGGCTAATCAGGACCCGAAATAGAAAAATATTAAGTCTGCTCTTTAAAACAAAGAAAATAAGCAATGTAGGAGAGTAGTATCCACACACAGCGGGAAACTCTGTGTATTTGTGCAGTGTGTACATGTCAGAAAATCAATTCTGATACACAGCAACATCCCAAGAGTTACAATAACTCTGAATCAGTGTTTAAAGTTAATAAGATACTTAAGTGATGATTGAGCATTAGTGATGAACACCTGCTGGCAACAAGCAGAATCACTGAAGGAAAGAGAAACAACAAGAACAGAAAAAAGTGAAACACAAGAACTACAACTGACTTTCAGCCACAGCCTTAGATGAAATCAACTGAAGAGAAAAGAAGACATGCATGCTGGGAGCCGCAATAGTATAAAGCTCATGGCTCCCAGGATGCATTGTGGCTTGAAACATGTCACCATTGTTGAGATTCATATGCTGATTCTTGATGTTCCTGTTTGTCTTAAAAAAAAAACCCTCAGTGTATTTAAAAGTCATGTTTTATATACTGTACTATTCAATGTCTCTTTGTTGCTAAATTATTGTTTGTTGTCTTCTTACTGTAGCCTCCAGGAGCACAGCACCCTTTCTTTTTAGATCTGGTGTGACAGGACTGCAGGTGACCTATGCCAGTGATGAGAAGGAGCTGTTTGAAGAGATCTCCAACATTGTTAGAAAGTAGGTTAACCGTGTATCTGTTGGATTTTCATTATGTTATGTACAGCCGCATTTTTATGATTATTTCTACAATTCATTGGATACATTTTTTAAAAATCTATGTATAAAGTAAAATACAGAATTATTATTATTATTTAATCCAGTCAATGTGCTTGGGAAATAATGTCTCTGTCTCAAAGCCTCTGACAGGGCATGTCACATTACAACTTTATGCTTACAAGTTTGTTTGAAGTTCTTGATATAAAGGACTCTCATGTTTTGGACAACTTGGGTCGTACACTTTTCACACAGTAGCTCACTCTGTGACCTCTATTTGTATCCATAAAAAGGCTTTTCTTTCACAGTACACATGCCTGACTAATCTTATAATAAAACATGTTTATTTTCATTATCACTTTTATAGATTTCTTTTTGCAATCCTACTCACATGTACTGACATTGACAACATTTTAAATATTTAAATGGTAAAGGAACGGTTCACCCAAAAATTTTTAATTGCCATTTATTCTGGTGGTTCCAAACTTTTTTTTTTCTGCTGAACTCAGAAGGAAATGTTTTAGGTTGCTATTTTCCATTCAGTAATGTTTCATAGTGACCATACTATAATGCTCCAAACAGGACAAAAAAAACCTAAACTAAACCGTGTCAAAAAGTAGTCCTACAACTTGTGCTTTATATTCCAGATGGTCTGAAATAATGCAATTGTAACATTCCACTAAAGGCGAGTTGAACTGAACACATGTGCAGTTTATTGATACTGTGAACAGATACAAATGACTTGACAAAGTGTGACTTGACTTGACTTGAAATAACATAAACCTGGACGTGACTTAACTCACCAAACAGCGGGTTACACGAATAATGCTAAACAAGATACAATGGGAATATGAGGGCTATATATACTTACATGGACTAAACAAGGAACACCTGAACACAATGATAAAGACAATAAACCAATGACACCATAGGGCACATGACAAAATCAGGAACATGCCAACTTCAAAATAAAGGACATGAAACCTGAACATGAAACAAAACTCAAAACCAAACGTGACACATTCCCCCTTCAAAAAAGGTGGCACCTGACGCCTTAAATGAACATCCTCCCCAAAACCAAATCAGCAGAATGTCCTGGAGGGTGGAGGAGCGGAGGCGGTCCGGGGGGAGGGATGGAGGGCCAGCCCCGTGAAGGGGAACTGGACCCGAAGCATGGCCTAGCAGTGGCAGGCCTGGGCTGTGGAGCATGGGACATAGGACACATGACAACAAAGGACACATGAAAAGGGGAGCACATGACAAAACCAGGAACATGACGATGGAAAAACTTCAAAATAAAGGGCATGAAACATGAACATGAAACAAAACTCACAACCAAACGTGACAGCAATGGCTTTATGAGATGAACAGGACAAAATTTACTTCATTCACTGAATATATTTTCCTATACTGCCATTCAGGAGTTCTAATGACTTAAATTGCTGTTTTTGCTTCAGTTCACACAAAGCAATCTTATGACTTCATAAGTTCACACATAAGGGGAGCTTCTTTTTTGTCATATGGAAAGACATTGCTCCGTACTCTCCTTTACTGTTCAGCAGAAAAAAAAAAAAAACATACTGGTTTGAAATACATGAGGATGAGCACTTTTTTCTTACATGATCTGAAAGGAGGATAATAATGAGCTCTAGACCCTGTACAGCAAAAACACTCATAACACACCACCTTCCCGCAGGTTTGACCCAGACATTCTGGTTGGCTATGAGGTCCAGATGCACTCTTGGGGTTACCTCCTGCAGCGCGCTTCAACCCTCGGTGTGGACCTGTGCCAGCAGCTCTCTCGTGTGCCAGGTACGGTTCGCTCAGTTAGCGGTCCGCAACCTGTTTAGGTCCCTGTGCCATCTGATGTGTTTTAATGAAGTATTGCTTTTGCTATAGAGTATACTATATTTGTTATAATAGTCTCTAAACTCACATGAGTAGTTATGATGAAATACTATACTGACATATAAGAGATTTAGGATTAGCGTTTTAAGATGTCGAACAGTTGGGCTTGGTGTGTGCATCACTTTCTTGCTTGCTGCATTTTTTTTATTTTATTTTTTTATATACTGTATTTTTTATATAATTTTTTTTACTTTTTTGACATTAATTAACATGTAGTAATACCCTGACGTAGTGAGTGTTGTAAATAGGGGCAATCTAGACTCAAGTGGATGCATGTTCTACAAAATACTACCAGGTGTTAAATGCACTCTAATGTTGCTGTCCATGTATACACACCGATATCACTGAAAAGGGCTCTAACATCAAAGACACTATACTAGTTTTGCTACAAAAGCAAGAGTGTTTACTTTACAAACTAGTAAGATCGAGTAGTGCAAGCTCAAAACCAAAAAAGAAAAGAAAGTCGTCTCATCAGGCTGAGTGTGAACACGTCTAACTTCAAGAGATAAAAAATAAAGATGGGCCGTGCCAGAACGAAGTCTTCCAGTGCTCTCTGTCTAGCCTAGTGTATTTTTACCATAAACTAAAGAAAAGAAAAATGCATTGTCCATGCAACTGTTTACATTTTATCACAAGGGGTTCTGGCTTGTCTGTGGAGACCAAGTATAAGCAAAAGCACATTATTCGTAGTACTTTTAAAATTGATTTGGCTTCACCTTTGTTATAATTGCCATTTCCTCCTGACAACTTCTGCGTTGACACACACACACACACACACACACACACACACACACACACACACACACACACACACACACACACACACACACACACACACACACACACACACACACACAACTAACTAACTCCTGAGCACTTTTGATCAGAACTGCCCAGATGTATGTTAAAACCAAGTGTGAAAAGGGCCAGTGAAAACACTTAATATTTAAAAGCCGAGGTCATGTTTTCACTTTAAGAGTTGTGGCAGGCCAGGTGTTCTGCCAAATCTGTGCCTTTTCCCCGTATCCCATTTCTCAAATGTTGTATTTGATGTCATTACTATTACAGGAGATTCAAAGGAGAATCGGTTCATGGCAGAAAAAGATGAATATGGTGCAGACACTATGACGGAAATCCATATTATTGGACGCATTGTCCTCAACTTGTGGAGAGTTATGAAGACTGAGGTTTACTTCACATTCATTCCCCCAGAATGCCTGAGCTAACACTGTTTATCTGAGTGTTCTCCTTTTAATCAAGTGCTTCCTGTATGTTTGCAGGCTGCGTTGAATAACTACACTTTTGAGAATGTGGCCTTCCACCTCCTGCATCAGCGCTTTCCTCTTTACAGCCCTCGCACACTCTCTGACTGGTTTGACCACAACACACACCTGCACAGGTGAGAATGGATCTCGCATCCGTCTGATGCCAATAACTGGTCTTATTGCAGAGTTGTTCCTTGGAACATAATTTATCCATTCATCTTTTAACTAAAGCTAACTTCAGAATGGCATACTGGTTAATTTCTTTAAAGCACAAAACAAATACACACGGGACCGTTTGAATGCAGCCGCCTTTCGGCGTGCAATAGAATCAATAGTATTTTAAAGTCACCATGATGGTGGTTAGCGTTTGCTTTAGTTGGACTCTTGACCCTTAAATTTTTAGTATAAAGTTTTCTCTGGCTTCTATAATTGTGTTTATAAAGAGAGAAAATGAGATTAGGTGATGTTGGCTGTTTATTAATATCATCATGTAATTGCCTGAATCCCTGTTCTTATTCAGTGTCTAATGTTTTGATTATACAGGACTTGTGTTTTTAATGTTGTTTTATAATTAAAGCCATTTAATTTTACAGCATGAGAGCAATGTTGTTTATCAAATAATATAAAGGATTGTAAAAACATTTATTGCATTAAACTTTTTCCTCCACATTATTACTTAGCCATCAAGAATCAGTGTATGACTCTCAACAATGGTGACAATCAATGAAATGCTTCATGCTGCAGTGCATGCTGGGTACCACCAATCAAAACTCACCCATATCTCCCAGCATGCATTGCGGCATTAATAAATTATGCAGCTGGATTTTTTTGTAGCTTGTTTTACGCTCAGTTGATCTGATTATCAGGATATTTTGTTTGATTGCCACCATTGTTGAGATTCATATGCTGTTTCTTGATGTCTGTGTGCGTCTAAGTAATGCCATAGATGAAAGGTTTTTGTGCACAAAATAGTCTTTAAAAACCAAGTATATTATTTGATAAATCACACTGCTAGATATGCTGTAGAATCAAATGACTTCTATTATGAATAAAACAATATTAAAACCACAAGTCCTACATAATCAAAGCATCAGACACTGAATAAGATCAGGGATTCAGGCAATTACATGATGATATCATCATCATCATCAATAAACAGCCAACATCACCGGATCTCATTTTCTCATGGCTTTTTTAGCTACAACAATTGTGCTTTATTAAACACACAATTATAGCTGCCAGAGAAAATTTTATATTAAAGAGTCAAGGGTCAAGAGCACAACTAAAGCAAACGCTAACCACCATCATGATGACTTTAAAATACAAAATATGATTTCATTAAAATGGAAATTACATAAAGTAAATATGGTTAGTTTTAAGTGAAGCTGGTAATAAGTGTACGCCTGTACGGCCATGCATTTCACCTTTTTGTTTGGTTTATTCCAACCAAAATTCGACGACTGCCCAACGTTAGAGCTTGACGTCAAACAAACATTGGATTTAGACATCAACCCGACTTTTATTTTCAACCAAAATCCAACGTATGAGCGACATTGTAGTCTATATCCTGTGCCTGCTGGGTAAGGTCAAGTTGGGCACATTGCTTTATGGGATACAATATTTTTAGTGTGCACGTGACATTTAATAATGTTTACTGGTCATACAAACAAAATAACGTGGTTTTTTTGCCCTCCATACTCTGATATCTATCTGTTGATTTCATTTGGGCCAGGTGGAAAGTGGTGGATCATTATGTGAGCCGTGTGTGTGGTACAGTCCAGTTACTCCAGCAGCAGGACATTATTGGCAGGACAAGTGAGCTGGCACGCGTGTTTGGAATTCAGTTCTACCATGTGCTAACCAGGGGCTCACAGGTAATCATCAGTTCTAAAATCAGTTGCTCCCAGTCTCTGGAATGCTCTCCCTGTCCATCTAAGGGCCCCACAGACTGTGGACTCTTTTAAAAAAGGCCTCAAAACCCATCTTTTTAGAAAAGCCTTTTGTGGCTAAAAGTATAATTTTAATGTTTCTGTTTTTATTCTGTTTTTTTCATTGTAGCACTTTGAGGTCATTGAATTGATGTAAAGTGCGTTATAAATTAAATTTATTATTAATATTATTATTATTATTATTATTATCATCATCCATCTAAAACCTGTCATAGCACACAGATGCCTTTTCATACTTAATGCTGACAACAATAGAAACAACTTGACAGAGAACTGTCAGGAGACTTGTTTCCTTTCACAAAAGAGAACAATGGAATAGGAGGATTACCAAATCATTGTTTTAGGTATGAACAGTCATTGTCTTTACTGTAACTTTTGATCCATTTAATGCATAATTGATGAGTAAAAAGGTATTATTTTCTTTAAAAAAAAACATTAAAGTTGTAAAATGTATTCCAGCCTTAAGACTGCAGTTGTCATGCTGTATACTAGTTGCTTGCAAGCAGTGTAGACATAGCAATAGAAAGATGTGTCTGTCTTTCTTTCTTTCTTTCTTTCTTTCTTTTCTTCTTTTTTTTGCGCCATCCAGTCTTAAGTTATTCTCTTGGTTCTTGATTCCCAATCATAATTAATTTTCTGTGTGGAAAGTTATTGATTAAGTTGTATATATAAAAAAAAAAAAAACAGTATTCCTTTGATTCTTGAAAAAGAGAGATTCACAGATTTATATTATATTAAAGTATTTGATTATTAGATCCATAAATGCTTTTTTGCAGTTTCGGGGTTGGTAGTTAATCTTTTTCCTCCTCTTGCAGTACCGTGTGGAATCAATGATGTTAAGGATTGCGAAGCCATTGAATTACATCCCAGTGACACCGAGCACACAGCAGCGCGCCCAGCAAAGGGCCCCGCAGTGCATCCCACTGGTCATGGAGCCAGAGTCGCGTTTCTATAGCAACTCGGTCATTGTGTTAGATTTCCAGTCACTGTATCCATCCATCATCATTGCCTACAATTACTGTTACTCCACCTGCCTTGGCCATGTCGAGAACCTCGGAACGTAAGCATGCTTTTGGATTTAGAGTAAAACTACATTAGACCTAGTGTGTATTAATGCAGCATTTCCATATATCTGCAGTATCTGTTGTGTGGTTCATAAATGTTGATCTCTTCCACTGTCTCTCAGGTGCGATGAGTTCAGGTTTGGTTGTACATCCCTCAGAGTCCCTCCTGACCTCCTATACCAGCTCAGAAATGACATCACCATTTCTCCCAATGGTGTCGCATTTGTTAAGGTAGTTCTGAGATTACACCACCGTTAAACCTTTTCTTTTAAATACTGAATGATCCTCACGAGATGAGCCATTTAAATTGAGTAGTTGAAAGGGAATACTAGCTTGCTACTTTCTGTATGATTTGTACTGTATACTGTACTGCTTATTATCTTTGAATAATAGTATGTGAAACAGGATTTCCAAAATTGCCACTGGATTGGCTTTTCAGAAACTGTCACTGGTTGATGGATACGAGAGCGCAATGCACAAAGTTAACCAACATTTTCTAATGGCTTATTGCTGTTATAAAACAGTAGCGACTAAAATATGATAAAAGATACCAGGGTGTAAGGAATAATTAGAATATTGTGAATAATAATCACTATATACAATTCTGCTTTTGGTTACCATGCATCATAAAGGTCATTCTATGAGCAGAGATTGATATAATATACAACAGATGTGCAGTCACAGCCGCATCATTTCATCCAGCCCGATTTTAGAGCAAGAACTGTCGATTTTCTAGTAACATTTATTTGTAATATTTCTTACAATGCCAGTGTCAAAGTCGGTTGTGCTCACGGTTTGTGTGTGCTCAGTCATCAGTGCGGAGGGGTGTACTTCCACGGATGCTGGAGGAGATTTTGAAGACCAGGATCATGGTGAAGCAGTCCATGAAGGCGTACAAGAACGACAAAGCTCTGTTGCGCCTGCTGGATGCCAGGCAGCTCGGCCTCAAACTCATTGCTAATGTCACTTTCGGTTACACTGCTGCCAACTTCTCGGGACGAATGCCCAGCGTTGAGGTACATGCTGTAACCTGGCATTTAAAATCAGTGGTTCTCCACCCAAAAATGAGTTACATGTCTAATGTGATTACAGATCAGATAGGAAAAACAATGCTAGATGCAAAGAATGAATTGCAGCTAACCAAATAGTCCTTAAGCCTATTTATTTTGCTATCGAAATGATTATCACCTTTTAAAAGGATTTTTTGATTAAAAGTTGGTTTTGTGCAGTAAAATTTTGGTTGCTGAAACCATCGGAATTCAAGAGTATATTACAGACTGAACACTCAAACTGAATTCTCTTAGCAGCCGTTGTCTTAAATTAGCATATTTTTAGGCCTATGTGGTTAATATTATTACACAATGTTTGATTTGGTTTTAAACCAATTTTGGTACTGTATTAACTTGATGTCTAATATAAAATCTGGCTCCTGAAGTAAAGCCACCGATTTAAATAACATTTTAGATTGTATTAAAATTGTGCATGCAACATTGCTCCATAACAAATAAAAAAGACTGAAAAGGCCACATGCCCAAAATTAAACAGGATGTGTTTTGAGATTACTATTTTGCCAAAGAAACCAGAGAAAATGTCTTTCTCCTCGTACTCCAGGTAGGCGACAGCATTGTGCACAAGGCCCGAGAGACTCTGGAGAGAGCCATAAAGATGGTCAATGACACCAAGAAGTGGGGAGCGCGTGTGGTCTATGGAGATACAGACAGGTAGAGAAATAAAACTGGATGCATTAGTTCATTTCGATGAAGATGTGACCTCACCTACAATGTTGCTGACCAAGTGGTGGTGTTATTTTTTGTAATTAGTCCATTGCCTCCAATTTGACTCATTCAGTCTGATGTGCAGACCGTTTTCATACACTCTTGGGCAAAAAATAAATAAATAGGGCCTAGCCAAAAATGGCAAATTTTTTTGTTGTATTTTAATGGTTCATGAGTATATAAAAAAAAGCCTGATGGACTTGTTCTCAAGCCACTACTTGATTGTCTTTGCAGTTTGGGCAGAGCATTGTCTTGTTGAAAAATAACATCTGATCATTCCTCTTTAGATAACCTTTCATTTGTGGGAAGCAAGCCATTCTGCAATATATTCTCCTGTGCTTCAAAGCATTAAATGACTGTATCACAGGGAAGCATCTCACCAACACCAGCAGCTCAAAGGGCTCCGCACACATGACACTCTTCCTCCAGCCTCACTGTGCTAGAGATGCATTTAGTAGTATACTTCTCAAGACAATTAAAACCTTAGTGTTTAGCCATTTTAGGCTTGGCCCATTTTTATTTAATTATTTATTCTTTTTTTTTTTTGCCCAAAAGTGTACATGATATCATATTACCAGGTTAACTGGCCAATCATAGTGCTGTGGAGGCACTGCCTCCCTCTAAAACTTTATCAATTGTCGGATGCTGCTCTCTGATTGATTGATAAACTCCCTGCCCTGCCTGATTCGTGAGAGTGTTGTTTGTGTTAAAACTAAAGTAAAAATAACTCATAAAATTGCATACAATATTAACATCAGCATCAAAATGTTCTCATTGACTGTTCCATTGTGCAGTAGTTCTTCAGTGTCATTCAGTGTGAACAGGCAAATTGCTTGTCTGTGGACATTAGTTTTGTGCTTGCTTGGTAAACCGTTGTATGCTGTCTCTGATACAAGTCTCTTTCTCTTTTAGTATGTTTGTGTTGTTGAAAGGAGCAACTAAGGAACAGGCATTTAAGATTGGTAATGAAATTGCCGAGGCTGTCACTGCCACCAACCCTAAACCCATCAAATTGAAATTTGAGAAGGTTTGTGAAGTGCTTTATTATTGGTCTGTCTAAAAGTATACTCTGTGAGAGTCACATGATTGTTTATTGTGCTTTTTAATTTTGTCTGTCTGCATTCCTGTGTGTTTGTGCAGGTGTACCTCCCATGCGTTTTACAGACGAAGAAGCGTTACGTTGGATACATGTATGAGAGTTTGGATCAGAAAAACCCAGTGTTTGATGCCAAAGGCATTGAAACTGTGCGTCGTGATGGCTGCCCCGCTGTTGCCAAGGTAACTAGCATTCCTCAATTTTTCTTTTCTTTTTGCCTACTCGCTGGATAATGTCACTGCTCCACCTGTCAGTCACACTGCAGTTGTAATGGGAAGCTGAGTTTGGTAAAAAAAAAGTTAAATTCTGAGAAAATGGAAAAATATCTATATTATTCGCTATTCAGTAATATTATTATTATTATTATGAAAAATAACCTTACACACAATTGTTATTTAATAAAACAATACATCAAAACATGTAGACCAGGCAGCACTGAGTAGTCACACAGAATGTATTTTTGCATTTTAAAACATTATACAGCGCACAACTGAATATGAGGGTGATATATTTAAACGTCCACTATGAAGGATTTTCCCAAACAAATAAAGTGTTGACTCGTATAAAAATGATCCATCTCAATCAATACTCATGATCCACTAGCCGTGTGTGGTGATGTTTGTGTCTGCAGAGACATTGCTTTTATTTTTCTATTGCTGTGCTCGGGACGTTTGTGGTTCTGCAGCCTTTGTCCAGTGAGTGTCAGCTGTGTCTGTGTCTGAAGCTCCGCTGAGTGGCTGTGTCTCGACAAAAACAATCCGCTAATGTTGCTTTTGCCTTAATGACTGTACTTTATTTGTACACTACTTTATGCCTTAATGACTTAATAAAACGTTTTTGGGATGACATCATGACACGTAATAATTTTTATTAGTGATCTAGACTGAAGATGGCTAAACTCGCTCGCAAATTACAGCCAGTCTTCATTTGCACACACAAATATGTACATTTATGCATGACAAACATAATATTAAAAATTACATTTATGCATGACAAACATAATATTAAAATAAATATTTGCAGAACACCTCATCCCTCCTCTTTCCCCGGGCAGTGCTCTTGAGTTTTTGTTATGTGTCTGCAGGTTGGACTGTGCTGATTTGAATGTGATTTGAGTGTTGTTGTTTTTTTTATCACTACTTTTTACGTTTTTATGTGAAAATTATTGACAAAAAATTAAAAAAGCCTTGCCCAAACATTTGTCAGTAAACATTTTTTGAATGGATTAACACTGGGTCACACATTTTCTCAATTATGATAAAACAATAATCCAAAATCTTAAATATTTATTGTTTTGTCACAATACATTTTCTTTATCCTAAAATGTTTTTTTTTTGTGTTATATATTATTTAAATTTAGATATTTATATACATTAATAAAATAAAAATAAAAATAATATATATATATATATATTATGTGTGTGTGTGTGTGTGTGTGTGTGTGTGTGTATGTTTTATTCCTCCATGTTCTGGAATTCTCCTTGTGTTTGTCTATAAAACCTTCAATTTTTTTTTAGGACACAATATACCTTTTTTTTCTAGAAAAAACATCTTTCAGGGACATAATCTTGCTGGAGCTGGACTGAAAAATCAATTCCTACCTTGAACACGCTGTCCTATGATATTATTATTGTTTACATGCACTTGAAAAACTTGATTTGAGATGGACTAAAGCAATAATACGTCATGAAAACATTTTTCCAACAAAAATCTAATCATTTGTTTTTTTCTGTGAAATCTTTTATCCACATGTACAGTATACACATTAATCGCACTACAAATGGACTTTGTGTTGTGTGAAAACAGAGATGACATGCAGCGAACACAACACAGCTATTCACACAGTCTGTATCAGTTTTAGATTACGCATTTACGCATCGTGACATGCCTGTATATTCACTCCACAAAAACCTCTTGATGCTAGATTGTAACTGCACATGTACATGTACTTATTGCCTGGTTGCTTCAGATGCATTGGCCGTGGGATTCTCGAGTGTCAGTTGAAGGGGTTTCATTAAGTTTTGTTTTGTTAGATCCTGGAGCGATCTCTGAAGCTGCTTTTTGAGTCGCGTGACATCAGCCAGGTGAAGCAGTACGTGCAGCGGCAGTGTGTGAAGGTGCTGGAGGCCAAAGCCAGCATGCAGGACCTCATCTTTGCCAAAGAATACCGCGGCAGCGGGTCGTACCGGCCAGGGGCCTGTGTCCCTGCTCTGGAACTGACCAGGTGAGCGAGTGTAGATCTGTGTGTGGAAATGGACATGGTCACTGCCAAATACGGATGACTGAGATGTCAACAGATGTTTACTGGTCACTGAAAACAATGATAGCACTACTGTTTATTATTAAAGGAATAGTGGTTATTTTTTCCATATTTATCCTTTTAGCCATTTTGTACTTAAGGGTTAATAACCAAAGCTTGGGAAATTTCCCAAAATATGAGGTACATGTGAACCTTTACATCTTTAGTGGTTTTACTCACTGACTGTGTTGCAATTGTTATATTATAGGCGATAAAATAAGGCAGTTTGCATTTTGGATCATAACTTTGGAACCACTAAGGGCTGGAAACAAAATTATTCCCCCCGCAAGCTCATTTAATTTCAATTTTTACAATTCTTTTGCCAATTTTGTTTTTTTTACCTACTTTTTTTAACTGATCTTAATGAACAGAATGAACATCACACTGTATGATCTGTGTAGTATTTCTGCATTCCAGTATTACACTTCTAATTTCTACCAAAATATGACATGATTTATTTATTGGTTTTAGTTTGTTCTACAAAACATTTCACATTAGAGTTTAAATACACCAAATGCATGGTTTAAAAGGTTAGAGTGCTACAAGCATTTTAGAAATAAATGACAAAAAAAAATGAAGAGGGCCTTAAGATAAATGATATTCACATTCATTTGAAAATGTCCTGTGACTTCCTTTGACGTGATTCATCTAAATATAAATGTTAAATATGAGTCCACATATACACTCATTATGATTGAACCTTAACCTTCAGTGAAGATTTAAAATGACTCCTGTAAAAACTACATCATAAAACCGCTAATCATCCACATGTGCCATTGGTGCTTGGACCTTGACGATTGCCGCTAAAGTGTAATTTTAAAGTTTTAATTTAAAATATAATTTTTACTTCACAATTGTAAAATTACAATATGTAATATTTAAGGTCTAGGTAATTCATGGGAAATGCCGACTCTTGAAAACGGGCACATTACAATTCATATACATTTAATAATTATATATTTAAAATTAACCGGCATAATCATGCCAATAATTCACAGTTTAGTGGACGTGATGTCACGCTTTGAGGGCTAGTGTGGAAAATAGTGATAAAAGTGGTGGAAATTGATTCATCCCAGTGACTTTTGAATGAGTTCACAAAAAAAAATATTGTTCAGATTGCGCTGATTTGAACCAAAATTCAACAAGCCTTATTCTTTATTAGAAGTTGCATGTCTACAAGTCTAAACTAAGAATTTCTCACAAATCTAATAAAAAAGTAAATCTCAACAGAAAAATAATCTATACAAAAAAGACGATAATGGTTTAAAAAACATTTCAGTAACATCTGTCATTGTAATGTATTGTCAGTGTCATTGTCACTTTGACACATTTATAATTCATCTATTCTGTCCTTGTTGTGAAAAAGATTGACTCGTGGACATTTCCTTTACGTAGAGTCAGTCAGCAGATCCACATTCATGAAACTTGTTTTTGTTTTTCTGTTATGAACTAATAAATACTGACAAGTCCAGTGAAGGGGCATACTTGTTCTGCTCACGAGTGCTGTTGGGACTTTGGCTATAGTTGGTCTTTAAATGCAAGACAAATCTACGCAGGCTTCACCCACAAAACAGATTCACATGTGCATGAAAGGTACATACTTGGCAAATATTGGTGCTATCAATAGCAAATATTGGTTTAGCTGTGGTGATCATGCTAATGAGCTCTCTAATGCTGCACCTTCCCGTTTACGGCACACTTTAGTTTCGTTGGACTGATGACATTACCCTACACTACTCACTACCACTACATGCAGACCTCTCAGGACTCGCTTTATTTTCTGCATGCGTGCTGCAAGACTATTATTGTGCTAGACTAAGGCTGTCGCTTAGCAACACATCCATTAACAGATGTTGAAATTAGATTTGAGGTATGGTTTAGGGGAATTTTATCTTTGTTGAAAATGCCGCTCCTTGTTCTGAATCCAGGCTGAATCGAAATGCATTAAAATGCCCCACATGTTGCTGTATAAACCTTTTTTGTGTGCTCTTTTCTGTCTGTCTTAGGCGTATGATGGCACATGATCGGCGGTTGGAGCCGCGTGTGGGTCAGCGTGTGCCGTATGTCATTGTGTACGGGACGCCGGGAGTGCCGCTCATACAGCTGGTTCGGCGTCCTGTAGAGGTACTGCAGGACCCCAGCCTGCGCCTCAACGCCACCTACTACATCACCAAGCAGATCTTGCCACCACTTGCACGAATTTTTAACCTGATTGGAGTAGATGTGTTCATCTGGTACCACGAGTTGCCGAGGGTTAGTTACGTCATTTTGTCTTTTAGCAAATGCAGAATATAAATGATCAAGCTTGAGACTGAAACATTGTTCAGCTTTAATGGGTGTATCTACTAGTTCTTGTACTTTTCGGTTGCTCTTTGTCTGTTCTGTAGCTATTTGAGATCTAAATGATACTGACTTATACTAGCTGTTATTGATATAAAGGCACCATCTGGTGGTGGGATAGAAGACGTTAGATTTTTTTTACATATTAAAATACTTTCACCTATCCCAGTTTCATATGCAGAGACAACTGTAAGTTGAGTGACACACTGAGTGTCTGGTTCTCAAACATTGTTCTGTTTAAGTATCCAGACCAGCTCGACAAAGCAACATCAGTTAAAACACATTTATTGAGTTTTAACATCAAAAAATTGCATGCTTCACCTTTTAAGAAAAAGACATTTCCAAAAAAAACCGTCATTTGTTGGTGTTTTCATTGCACAGGTACAGAAGGCCTGGAGCTCTGCGGGGGGTGGAGGAGGAGATGAGGGCACAAGAAAGGGCACCATCTCTCAGTACTTTACAACACTGCATTGCCCAGTTTGTGATGAGCTGACACAGCTGGGAGTGTGTGAGCGATGCCGAGCCGAACCGCAGCGCGTTGCGGTTCACCTACACCAAGACCTGCGGCTTTGGGAAAGCCAGCAAGACCAGCTCCTAAAGGTCAGAGGTCATGCTGGTTTGTCTTAGAATGCCATAGTTTGTTCACTGACCTGTTCTGATCTGATTATCTGGCTTTACACAGCTTCCGGGAGTGAGCTACTGTATGGGTCTGTGTCTTAAGGCCTGCTTGAAAACCCGTTTCAGATTGATAAAATGAATACATTTTTGATTTTGAACTAATCACTAAGAACTTTTACACAAACTATATATATAAGCAGATGTTCTGCTATGTTGTCCATGTTATGTTAGTGTACTAATCTATATTTAGTACTTTTTGATTAAGAAAATTTGACCACCAAGACTTTTTAGATATTTTTTTTATACCACAGTATCTGCATGTAAGCTAAATATTTGTTTTTCGGGCACGTAAAAACAAAGTTAATGTTACTAATTAATGTACAGGTCATTAAGGTCTACATCTCTTTTTGCAATCAGTTTCTCTTAATTATAAAAAGCAAATGCCGGTCAAAAGATCAAAATAGTAGCGATTAATGTAATGTTCGGTTTTTCTGACTAATGGATAGTCAGTTCGCTTTTAAGCTAAGAAAAAAGAAGAGTTGGGTTTGTGAAATGATTTGTTTGGTGTGTCACTTACACAAACACATTCCGTATTCTTCAAAATGAATAAAAACGCACAGGGTAATACAAACACAGAATACTATTTAAACCTGCAAAATTTTACTAAAGTACTTTAATAATTTACTCTCACTTTATTTACCAGTGTCTGCTGACCTTCAGTGATCAAATGTAACCATGCAAATGACTTTAATTGTTTTCTGATTGGTGAATTGGCAGAGCTGAATGGTCTTGTCCTTTTGTTGCGAGACCTGGAATGGCGGTGCAGAGTGGAGAAAGGTGTTTGTGTTGTACTCTCTGTACAGGCATGCCATTTCCTTCAGTCTGACTTATTTTCTTTAGCTTTTGGTGTGGAAGACCACTTTTTGCAACACATTTGATGTATGAAAGGACCTTAAGCTGCAATGAGGACCAAATTTGGTCAAAAGTGTCTAGCTATGTGAGACTACGGTCACATGCTTCATGTTTGTCATATATCAATCTTTTGTTGTTTTCTGTTGTGATTTGATTGACAGGTATGTAGAAGTTGCAGTGGCAGTGCAGAGCGTCAGGTGCCATGTGTCTCATTGGACTGCCCTGTACTCTACAAGCTGTCTCGTGTCAGTCGACATCTTTCCCGAGGACCATACCTTCGCCAGCTGCTGGAGCAGTTCTGAGAGTCCTCTTTCATTTTACTCTGGTGCTATTAACACTGTGCCATTCAGCACAATTTCTATGTGTCATTGTTTGAAAAGGTGCTTTTTTCCCCTACGTGACCTTTGAGAGATTCCATCTAATACTGTTTGACTGCATTGTAGGGGGACTGAAGAGGCCTTAAATACAGAAAAGAGGAAGATGATTTTGATGCACTGTGTTTGAATTTGCTTCATGGTTGTTGTCAGAGTGTTAAATAATTTGGTACATTTCTGCAGATTGACAGGCCAAACATTTACAGCATAATCCTCTCTAAACTGAACCTCGTACTGTAGCAGTTTGTAAATCAAGGAGATTCAGTACTGGCTGTAACTTGACTGCAATTATTCCCCCCCCCCCCCCCCCCCCTGTAAAGTGTCTTGTAAATAAGTCTGGCATATGATGATCCAAAATTCTGTCTGTAAGCACTGATGAAAAAAAAGAAAGAAACTAAAATATTGGAGGGTTTTTTATGCCCTGCTTATGCCTGTCCATTCTCTACAGAGGCAAGTCTGAGGAAAAGCAAGTCAGTATCAGCCTTAACTTGGACTTCGGCAATATGGTTAATAATTTATATTGTCTGTGTGCACAATTGTATTCTTTTTTTTTTGTCCTTTTAAAAAACTTTTCTAATGCTTTCTCTATTCTGAACCAGACATTGTTACCTACCTATGTAAAAACTCAAGAGCTTTCAGAGCTCTGTATCCTGTTTTTGTAAACTTGTAAAAACTTAAGGTGCTTTGTTTTTAAAGAACATTTGTGGGTGGAGATTTAATATTGATATAATAAAAGTTGATGTATTTAACAAATGCTTGTTTCTATTTAAATGGGTCCTTTGGTTTTTACATCACTACTGTAATTCACAAATATTTATGCGGTGTAGGATTTCTACCACATATTGGTTATTAACAGAGCAATAAAAATGTAATACAGATCGATTCATTTCTATGAAATAAAAATGTTAGATTTGTTTTGATGAAAAATTGTGAAATTGCATCAACATGTCCAACCCAGAAGTGACTTGTCTGTCTACACTGAAAGCAAAACTAAATTAAATTCACACAATTTAAGCCATAATGTGCTAAATAATTAGTAATTACCAAGCAATCCATATGATTGAATAGAAATTGTTTGTTAACATAAAAGGAGGACTTTCAAGAAAGACTTCAGCATCAAAATATTACTATTAATGAAACTTTATACATCCAATCTAACCATACAATACAAAAACAAGTCTTAATCTTTTCACAGTTCTTAAGACCAGTGTATTGTGCTGGTTACAATTTACAAAACCTTCGATTCGAGGTAAATCAATCAACAACAAATGAGGAGAGATATAGAAGTCCCAATATCTTAATATACATTGGTGTCCAATAATAAGGCTGATCGTCATTGACAGGACAATTCTCAGTTAATGTCTAAAACGCCAATTAAACTGCTATCAGATAATCCTGTACAGTGGTGAGTCGGAAAAGATTTGGTGTTGCCATAAGTAACGTCAAACATGCAACTGGCATTTAGAAAGTGCAAATCAACTGGCTAGTGTGATCTTTTCACCAAAGAAAAAAATGCTTCAGGTTGACGTGGAGTGCAGGATTTAGCTTCTCGGTTCTTCTCAGAGTTCTTTGACGCAGTGCAATATATCAGTCTTTCTTCTCCCTGTTGAGGGACAATAAGAGTTTGCGTCTGGGAGAGTCTGTGGAAAAAGATGGAGTGTTAGACAGAGGTTGGGCCAGGGTTGTGGTGTCTTTTGAGGGTGCTGACAATGGAGAGGCCACTGAGTGGGCAGCAAGCGCACTGGCTGCAACATCAGGTGGCACCGAGGCTTTGGAAGGAGAGCTCAACAGGCTGGCGTCGTCCATCTCTATCACCTCAAAGTCTGCATCATTCCACTGGTCAGCTTCACTTTCATTTTCTTGCTCCTCTTCCTCCACGTTTTCCAGCAGCGCTTGGCGGTACTCACTGTCATCCGCATCCTTGGTGCGTCTCCCTGATGTTTTCCGTAAGGTGGCGTCCCCTCCTGGGGATGCTAGTTTATACAAGACCGGGAACAGGATAGAAGTGAAGGTGGATGTGCAAAGTGCCAGGTACATCAGCAACGGCTGATTCTGCACCTTCCCCAGTAAGAAGCCCAACAGAGCTGGCAAAACCATTTCTCCAAGAGCTGCGCCCACCACAAACACTGAAGCTGAGCGGCCCGTCACAGTCGTGTACTGCTCAACCCATGCAATCCCGCTGGGAAAGGTGGTAGACATGGAGATACCATAGAGGCCAGTGCAGGTCCAGAGCATTGGAACATTTTTGTTAAAAAGACACAGCAGGAGCGAGGAAACTGTGGTGCCCACTAGACTCATCAGGATCAGGGTGACTGGGCGCAGGCAAGTTGCAAAGAATATGGCCAGACCACGACCAGCTGCAAACGTTCCCCAGAACAGTGAGTTCAGTCCCGCTGCATGAGCCGATTCCATATGAACATAGTCCTTGCTATAGGTAAATATAAAGGAACCGTACGCCACCTCGCTTCCAACATAGAAGAAGAAGAACACGGACAGCAGGAATATTAGTATGTTGTGACGTTTGGAAAACAGCTGCTTCCCTGAGGGTGTCTTTGCCCTATTTGAGTTGGGGGAACTGCAGCAGTACAGGATAAAAAATAAGAATGACACAAGTAAAACAAAAGCACCAATCACGACGTAGGCCCACATGGATGATAAAGAAATGCCGATTGGCAGGGAGGATTGCACGATGGTCTTAGATGCGTGGCCAGACGCCAGAGGGGTGTTAAGCGAGTCATTGTGGGAATGGTGGCCAAACAGCAGCTTGGCTATGATCGGGGAGGCAAAGGCTCCAGCAGCGAAGCTAAAGTGCAGAGCCTGCAGATGAGGCCCAGCCTGCTCTCCCCATGTGTTCAGTATGAGAACATTACCACCTGTTGACAACCAGAAACTCAGAGTTACAGTAGAAGCTATACAGGTCTTTTCAGGGTTCGTGCAGATACTGTAAAATGAAATTCAAGGACTTTTCAAGCACTGCTTTTTTGGTTTTCAAGGACTTCAATAAGAGATCTCACTTATCAAACAATATCTTTATTATCTTTCAAATTCTAAAAAAGGTAAATATAGATGAACAAAAATAAACCAATGAAACAAAATGGTACAAATAAAGTGCAGCAGACGCGATGACTGTGGTAACTTTAACCATTGAAAGGATTACTATGACAAAGATATCGCTTTCCTTATTCAAACCGATTTTTTCTTCCATGAATATATGATTGACCAAAAAAATTAAAGCTGTATCATATTCTTGGATATTTATGAGCAATATCACACTCATAGCCATGTGAAATGGCTCTCTCTCTATATCAGATGGGCTGCAGTGTTCATTTTGTGTGAAAAGATTGCTTTATCGATAAAATTAAACACTAATTTCACATATATTGTCTTTCAATAATGCAAGCGCTTTTCAAGTGCCTTTTCATAAATATGGCTGTTTTCCAGGACTTAAATTTCTAAAAGTCTAATTCAAGTACTTTGAGCATTTTAAGCATCTTGTACGAACCCTGTTTTTTATATTGAGTGTCACCTAAAATTCACATTGTTATGTCCCTTAATGCTGGTATTATATACTATAACACGGTGTAGACCAGGAGCATGCTTACCTGTATCTAAAATTCCCATTGAAACCCCCACACCGGACATAAAAACAGTGAGCAGCCAATCTTTTTTACAGAAGGGAGTGCCAGACATCCCAAACGCCGTGATTAACATTGAGAAGCCTGCAGACAATAACCAAACGTGAGCAATGAATCACAAAGGGAATCATATCATCACATATCCACAAAAAATATAATTAAATACAAAATAAAGGGGAGAACATACTCCAGTGTACTACTGACAAATGTCCTTTAACTGCCATGAATTTTCAAAAACATTTCAGTCAAATAAATATGCAACTCTGTGGGGTCCTACCACAAAACATACACCATGAGACATGGTCCCACCAACTATCATTGAACTCATGCGTGATAGTTGGTAGCAGAGTGACAGGGAATTATTCTGGGCAATTTAGCTCGCTTTTCTGTAGCCTTTCTCTTATTTTGCCCTTTCTGTGCTTTCCCCTTTCTCTTTTTGCATAATTTTAATAAATAGTTCTGCTCTATAAATCTTTGCATCAGATCACTGAAACCTATCAAAGGTTACTCAAATCTAAACACATTAGCTTCATCAGGTGATTACCCAGAGTCCATATCTTTAACTGTTAGACCAACTCCCATAATAATTAAACACACATTTTTATAAGTAAATAATTTACTAAAGTTAAATAAATAAAAAGCTTCTTTCATTTAACACATTGTCTTTTTCTCTGTGGGGTTAATGGGCCTTACCAGAAAGCAGATAGGGATTCACACAGTCAAAAAGGATCCCTCCTATCAGGGAGCCTCCAATGTATCCTGATGCACGACTCACAAATATATAGGATAAGGAACTCATGTTCTTGTTGACATTGGTAGCCAGGTCTTCAAAGGTAGGGCCCAATACAGCGATGGCCATTCCCTATAAATATACCATATAAACAAATGCAGAAATATAAAAATATAGAAGATAATTTATGTGAAGCACATTTCAACATGTGCACATAAAATGGATTGTTATCTTACAGTAACAAGGTACAGTAATGACTTAAAATGGTAATTTTATATTCACATACCAGTATTTTCATGGTACTTCAAACAATTCCAAGATATTATTGTATTGGTAAAAATAGTAAAAAAAATAAAATGTACTTTGTGTGAATGCATACAATATGATGTTTAAAAACTATGACTGTCATGTAAACCTGTCATGTTACACCACTGCAAACTTGAAACTTGTCAAGACATTTTCCCTTATGAAAATTATCCTGTTTCATGACAATACAGTAGACGAACAGGGAATTACCATAACAATGACTTGAACATCTAATTATTCACAGTTATTTTTTTCATTCAGTTGTTTTTTTTAAACAGCCACAGAACACCTTCAGACATAAAATAACAGGAAATAGGACATTAAAATCACAGGGTGCAAAGCCCTATGTGTTCATATGATCGTTTTCTCTTTCCCACATGCAAGCTGAACATTACAGACCCACCAGTCCGAGAAACGATGCGCAAAGCGAAAGGCTGACCAGCCATCGCCAGCATGTCCCAGTATTGCTCTGGCTCCGTCCGGGTCGAATTACATCAACCTGGTCGGAGTCCGGGTTCATGACCCCTTTACCCCCCTTCAGCGCACTTCTCAGCCCCTCCTTAATGTCTTTACGCTTGTCGAAAAGCGTGTCCTCCTCCTGCTCGTCGTGGTCAATGTCCTCTTCCATCCTGGCAAACCGAACGTGTTTCTTCTTCGGCGCTGCTTCAGCAGGTGTCATGGCAGCACGAGCTCGCGCTGTGGTGTACGTGTACGTAATCGTCAACGCTGCGCTGAAGCGTTTCGTGGGTTTATGGCCGACCTAAAATGACCCACATTTGAGCTATTCGCAACTATCAACGTACTGTAATAATAGTTTTATTTTAGAAAAAAACACACCAGTAAAACTGAACACAAAATTGGCGTCGATCATTAGGTCAGCAGAAACTCCGCGTGATTATACACAGTACATTTCAGAGACCAGTTAAGGTTCAAAACTTCCGGATACAATGTGTGGACATGCGCAAAAACGCAGACCAACGCCGACGGTCACCAGATTAGTGTACGTCTCTTCTCAGACATTATAAATCCGATGCATGTTCAATTGGCGAAACCAAGCTCTGACTGGGGTAACTCTATAGCCTACACTTCGTATGTTAGTTCCTATGTAACAGAAGACATCATTTATAATTTGTGGTGCCAAGTTGGTTACATGACAAAATAAACCCAAATCATGCAGCCTACAGTAAATAAATCAAAATAAAACATTTTTTAAAATAATGTTGGCATGAAACAGAAATTGTGTTAATCTTTTCTTCCCTGTTGTTGTGACAAATATCCAAGTGAAACAGCTTCTCAGTTGAGAAGAAAATGTATTCATTTTGTCTATCAGGAATTGACTAAATCCTTGTTGTTGTTTGTTAATTGCTGAATTTCGTAATAATAAGGTACACGATAAATCATAGTAAACACTGCAATTCCGTTAAAAAATAAGAATTTAATTCATTTTGATTTAATTGATGACTTTAAATAATAAGTCCCAGAACTGACATTTCTGTAGTGACATTTTCAAAGTTGTGTCCCAAGCAGCATTGCTGGTCAGCAGCATGTTTTGCACGCTGGGACCATTGGGGTGCTGGTTACTGCAGCATGGAAAGAGTGTTAAAATAAAAGGGAGACATTAAGTACGTGTGCAAGACTGTCCCAGGTCTAAAAAAAAAAAAGCAAAACCTCAGAGCACACTAAATCCACTTCAGAATCATGTGGCCCCAAATCGTGAGATGTCGAGAAAATGTAATGTAGCCCAAGTGTTGCACATTGTATTGATGCAGAGAGTCTGCAACTGTTTGTTTTATCACTTAGCCTTTATTTATTGTTAGGCCTATATAATTGATCTATTTTCCCAATTAACATTCTGTATTGTTTCTTTTTTAATACTTAGTACCATAAATATTTAGTAAAAAATCATGCCAATAAAGCTTTGACTCATTGTCTACGCCAGTAGGTGATGATAAATGTGCATCTATTTTTGTGTTATTAGGGAGTCAAAAATCCTTAAATCAAGTTATTTGTTAGAAACACTGAATCGTATACAAATGAAACAATGGACATAAATGAAACAATGTGTTCACTTATAGGGTTATAATCATAGACTGTAAAGGGTTATAATTCATCCACAAAAAAACTGGTTCATTCTTGAATATAAAACACCACTAATTGTCCTATTAATGACTAGCCTAACAATGTTATTTAAATATAACATATATAAAACATATAAATGTTAAATTGCAGTATAGTGTTGTTGTTTCATTTAAGTCAAAGTGATGATGTTTCATTCATCCTATATAGCCTATGTTCCTTCCCCAGATTTATATGACAAATAATAAACTCATGACAAAAGGTCCCATGTTTCCTGGGTTAGGCATAGACTAACTTAAGTCAAGTCCCCTTTATTTATAGCGCTTTTTACAATACAGATCGTTCAAAGCAGCTTTACAGAGATAACAGGAACAGGACAATAAAGCAAAGGAGTTTGTTACGGCTGTACAGCAGATCTAGAAGAAAATAGCGTCACAGTCCAGCTTAAGTTCAGTGATGGTAGCGATATAATAATATTGTTGAATATTAAGTGTCCCCAACTAAGCAAGCCAAAAGCCAAAGGCCACAAAGAGTTTAGGCCACGTAGGTTTAACACGGAACATAATGAAAGACCGACATCTTCATTGCAATATTACAAATGATAGGATTCAGATGATGGGATTAAGTGTTAGATTTTATGGGTACCAGGCTCATGTATGAGTAAAATAGCGATATGGAGTTCCTCAGGGTTTGATTTTAGGTCCAATTTTGTTTTTATTGTATATTAGCCCTCTAAGTGAAATAATTTGTAATTTTAATAATGTGTCCTATCACTTTTATGCTGATGATATTCAGCTGTATTGCTCTTTCAATGAGTCAGAGTTAGGTAAATTAACCGATTTATAGAATGCCTGTCGTGCATTAAGACCTGGTTATATAATAATCATTTACAACTGAATACAAAAAAGACTGAAACGTTGATCATTGCTCCAGAACAAAAACTACCCCAAATTAAACAACACCTCTGTTCCTTGGACTCGTCCGTCCAGATGAGTCTAAGAAACCTGGGTGTTTCGTTCGACCAATCGATGTCTCTATGGTCATTCTAGACAGATGGTCAGAAATTGTTTCTTTCATTTGAGAAATATCTCTAAACTGAGATCAATACTACCTAAAGCTACCATGGAATTGATCATTCACGCTTTTATCTCTTCACGGCTAGATTATTGTAATTCTCTTTTTACTTGTTTTAACAAATTTTCTCTGAGCCGTCTCCAATTGGTGCAAAACGCAGCAGCAGCATGGACAGTCTCCCATATCGCTGACATGCTGACCTCTATTCTTCCGGCCGCACTTCGTTCTTCAGGTCAAAACGATAGGTTACTGACGTAACCCCGGTTCTCTGATAACATGAAGTGAGGTATCTCACTACGGGAACGCCTCTGGGCGTGTCCGATCGCGGAAGCACCAATTACACCACGTCTGCCAACTATGGCAGACCAATCGCTGCAGCGATCAGGGAGTCCCGGCTCCCTGTATATAAACGCAGCTACCTGCCGTTTCGTCATTCTCCGCATATCTCTTCTCCGTGCGAAAAGGCAAGGAGGGCAATGTTGTGAGATACCTCACTTCATGTTATCAGAGAACCGGGGTTACGTCAGTAACCTATCGTTCTCTTTCTAACATTCGTTCGGTATCTCACTATGGGATATAGACAACTCCCGTATTGCCGATATGCTGACGAAGCAGACTGAAGAAGAGGGGATATAATAATACTGAATCATGATCCCAGACGGAAGAAAAACAGAATGATATGGGGACAGGTGCCCCCTTATTGAAACCATCTAAACCTCCTCCTGACTACTTACTCCCAAAACTGAGTGTGCCAGAGAGGGTTCCGTAACATCCAGTCTATAAAAACGGATAAATGTGTGCGGAGAGGACCAGCTGGCCGCCGCGCAAATTTCTTGAATAGAAATACCCTTGAATAGAGCCCAGGATGTAGCCATCCCCCTAGTAGAATGCACTGGTGGCTCTATATTCATGCTTTTGTAACATAAACCAATAGCCTCCACCACCCAATGAGAAAGGCGTTGACGGGAAATAGGTTTTCCCTTGTAAGAGTCAGCCCATGAGACAAATAGCTGGTTGCTCTTACGCAATGAGTGGGTTCTCTGTACATAACTGTACAGCGTGCGAACCGGACATAAACAGTGTAACCTCTCCTCTTCTGGAGAAGAAAAAGGAGGAGGATGAAAAGCTGGCAAGTCCACTGCTCTTACGGTATCCGCGTGATCATATACTTTGGGCACGAACGCCGGGTTAGTTCTGAAATAAGCTCTTTGACCACCCGGAGCGAACTTCATACATGAAGGGTGAACTGATAACGCCTGTAGTTCACTCACTCTCTTTGCTGTTGTAAGAGCAAGTAACAGAGCCGTTTTTAAAGCGAGCAGTTTTAAGGCAATGCTATCAATGGGCTCGAACGGGGCTTTTGAGAGCGCGCTCAGGACCACAGACAAATCCCATGGCGGGACCAGCGTCTTTGATACTGGGTGTAACCTACGTGCACCTCTCATAAAACGACAGACTAGAGGGTGTTGACCCATGGTAGCCGAATCAATGCCTACATGACTTGCCGATATGGCGGACAGATAAACCTTCACCGTGGAAAAAGCTCTGCCTTTATCCAGGAGGTCTTGAAGAAAACACAGCACATCTGAAACAGAGCACAAGAACGGAACAATGTTCTTATCTGCACACCATTCCTCAAAGACTCTCCATTTTAGGTTATATAAAGAACGAGTCGAGGCCGCCCTCGCGTTCTGAATCGTCTCAATAACCCTTGGAGGTAATCCGGCTGCACACAGATTCAACCTCTCACGGGCCAGGCCCAGAGAGCTAACTTCTGAGGGGAGGGATGGAATATTTCTCCCCGTGCTTGTGAGAGGAGATCCCTGCGCGTTGGTAACTGCCAAGGCTGGTCGTAGAGCAGTTGCGCAATCTCCGCAACCCACAGTCTCCCCGGCTTGTACGGCGCGATCAGAATTAACACATGTCCGCGCTCCCGAACCCTCCATAGTGTCGGCTCGATCAAGCTTAACGGAGGGAACGCGTACAGTAACACGTCTGGCCACTCGTGGGCTAGCGCATCCACACCCAATGGTGCATCGTCGCCGACCAGAGAGAAGAACAGGGGACATTGTGCGTCTTCGCGCGATGCGTAGAGATCTACGGCAGCCTGGCCGAATCTCTGCCACAACATGAGGATCATCTGGGGGTGGAGTCGCCACTCCGCGTACAGGGGATTCCCTCTGGACAATAGATCCGCTCCCCTGTTCATTATCCCCGGGACATGCGTCGCGCGTAAAGACAGGAAGGTCCTGTTGCTCCACATAATCAGTTTCTTCGCTACCATGTGAAGCGTCTGAGAATGCACTCCTCACTGCCGATTCATGTAGGCTATCACCGTCGTATTGTCTGTCCTGACCAATACGTGATGATCCTTTAGAAAATGCACGAAATGTCTCAGAGCTAGAAACACTGTCAGTAGCTCTAGAAAATGTATGTGCTTTTCTCTTAGTGCGGGAGACCAAACTCCTCTCACTGTCCTGCCCTCGAGCACTGCGCCCCAGCCTGTGAGAGATGCATCCGTCGTCACCACTTTTCTCAGTACGATCGGACCCAGAGGGCATCCTGTCCTGAGAAAAGACAGGACTCTCCAATGACAGAGAGCGCTCGTGCATTCTGGTGAGACGCGCACTCTGCGGCTGAGGCGGCTCTCGGGGCGAATGCCCTGTGACGCTGTCCAGTTCTGAAAATCTCTCATACGTAACAGCCCCAGGGGAACCACTGACACAGTTGAGG